CATCACACAGGAGGAAAAAAGCATATTTGCAGACTCCTCATTGGACATCAATGGGCTACGTTTGTACAGGGTAAGGAAATGTGCTTAAACACATGTCCAGAAATAGCCAGCGTCAGTACAATATATTTAAAGTCATTGCCTTTCACTGTGCCTATTTTTTCACACATAACACACGCACACAATTTTCTCCACTCTCAGCCCTCCTCTGTCTCAAGAGATGGACACAGATGCTGTTACAGGCTGTTTTCCTCTCACCTAGAGGAACCTGGCCTTCCCTCATAACAGACAACAAAATCTCACTTCTGTCATGCAGTAAACTACAGATAATGGCTCTGCCGTGTAGGTCATTCTCTCTTATACACAAAGGATTTAGAGTCATATTTAGGCTATTTATCTTCCAAAACCCTTTAACAATGACATGTGTAACAATCTGTTTGCTTACACTCAAAAAACATATGTTAGCTGTTTGTTCAAGCTGCTTATTTAAAATGAGCTGCAACAACACAAGTGTAGGAGAAATGCATATGTGCCTTAAAAAGTCAAGAATTATTTATATAAAATTATTTTTGACCAATTTATGTTTATATTCTATTTTTACAACCCAGGCTCATTCTGATTACGTACCCTTATATACATTTCTGGAGTGTGCAAAATACTTTCCAGGAGCTACGTTATTTTGCAGTTTTTGTTTTCGCGAATCCACCACTGCACACTGGCCACTGTGTACGCTTTTTCAGATCTCAAATTTCTTTGGTGAGTGCCATTCGTGCCTGCTGTCCTCATGTAAATCCAACAGAGGTCGCTGCTTTCCTAAACCCAGCCAATAGTGTTTTCAAAAGCACCGATTAACCTGCCCACCAATTTACTAAACCCAACCGACAGTTTTTAAAAGCTATCCAGAAAAAGAAAAGCTTTCGTCTGATTTTTACCACATTTTCAGATTTTACCACATTCTCACCCTGTTATTTATTTATTTTATGTTTTGGCTTCTGTTTTATTCTTATCTGCTTTCTACCGTTCTTTATCAGACTCAAACCCCGTCGTCATGATCAGCTCCTCGCTGCATCTCAAGTCTGCTGACATACATGGCGAGCTAACTGGACAAACTGATAACCGCTATAAAGCCGTCCATATAAAGGTAAGCGGTCATTTGGTAAGCGTGAAAATGAATAGCATCATACCGCATACCCGTAGCGTTCATTTTAAAGACGAAATATGGCCGTGCGTACTTCTGGCTACATAATTCACGATCACCAGGAATGTATATGGGGCTACGTTTTTTAGAATGAGCTATGTTGCAACATTTTATTTTGCAACAAGTTATTTCTTAAGTGATAGACATTTTATTCTTGTTTTATTTAACTGAATTATTCCACAAAAATGTATCTAATATGAACATTTTATTTTGTTGTAGCTGCATTTTAATTACCAAAAATATTTTATTAGTTAACAATGACAATCATAAATCTGGGTTCTAGACATCTGTCAACACACCAGTTTAAACCTTGTTTTCTCATCAGAGGCTCTAGTGACTAGTTAGTGCTTTTGGGAGTTTTAAAAGATTTCAGAAGAAAAATAAAATAAAGTAAAAATTAGGCAGCATGGTGGTTCAGTGGTTAGCACTGTTGCCCCACAGCAAGGAGGTTGCTGGTTCAAGTCCTAGCTGGGCCAGTTAAACAAATGCCAGAATAGTTAGTGGTTCATTCCGCTGTGGCGACCCCTGATAATCTGGGACTAAGCCAAAGGAAAATGAATAAAAAATAAAATAAAATAAAATTCAGTTCAATTTAATTCAATAATTTTCTTTTTGGCTTAGTCCCTTTATTAATCAGGAGTCGCCACAGCGGAATGAACCACATAAATAAAATAAAATAAAATAAAATAAAATAAAATAAAATAAAATAAAATAAAATAAAATAAAATAAAATAAAATAAAATAAAATAAAATTCATTCATTCATTTTATTTTCAGCTCAGTCTCTTAATTAATCATGGGTCACCACAGAGGAAGGAACCATCTTAAATTAAATTAAATTAAATTAAATTAAATTAAATCAGGTGACGTGGCGCAGTAGGTAGTGCTGTCTCCTCACAGCAAGAAGGTCGCTGGGTCGCTGGTTCGATCCTCGGCTCAGTTGCCGTTTTAGAGTGGAGTTTGCATGTTCTCCCTGCGTTTGCGTGGGTTTCCTCCGGGTGCTCCAGTTTCCCCCACAGTCCAAAGACATGCTGTACAGGTGAATTGGGTAGGCTAAATTGTCGGTAGAGTATGAGTGTGTGTGTGAATGTGTGGATGTTTCCCAGAGATGGGTTGCGGCTGGAAGGGCATCCGCTGCGTAAAAATGTGCTGGATAAGTTGGCGGGTCATTCCGCTGTGGCGACCCCGGATTAATAAAGGGACTAAGCCGACAAGAAAATGAATTAATGAATAAATTAATTCATTTTCCTTTCGGCTTAATCCCTTTATTAATCAGGGGTCACCACAGTGGAATGAACTCTTAATTTAATTTAATTTAATTTAATTTAATTTAATTTAATTTAATTTAATTTAATTTAATTTAATTTAATTTAATTTAATTTAATTTAATTTAAAAATGTAATTTAATTTAATTTAATTTAATTTAATCTTATATAAGATGAGATTTATGAGTTGACTATGATAAATTTACTATAAGCAATACTATAAGCAGTGTATGTCCAATTATATTTAGGTTATATAAGAAGACATACAAATGCAAATAAACACAAATATAAAGAATACAATCGGCAATGGATTAATTATGCTAATTTAGGCACAGACGAGAATGAACCATGATATGTAGATGAGACTGCATGCATGAATCAAGTTGTTTACAGTTTTAATGTGCAGCTGAGATGCTGGCAATGAAGAAGATTGTTGCTTCATCTCTTACACTATGCATTATCCCTCCTCCTTCCTACATCATTAACATTCTCAAGCACCGATTTTGAACCTGATCGCATGATAAAGCTGAAATGCACTTACCCAGACGCTGGAAAGCCTCTGAAGCTGCATGCCGGAGGTTCTGCATGCCGTCTGCTTCTTCTGATGGACCTTGATGGAACTGGTGTTGATACGACAGGAGGCTCTCAATGTGACCCAGACATTTTAAGTGTTGTACTCGACCTCACCACTGTCCTTTTATCCTGCATGTCATCACCTGGCTTCAGGCGGCACCTACACTGACACACAAGTTGCTTTCTCTGTCCTCCTACGATTTACTCTGAGAGCTCTCCTCCTGTCTCTCTCCTGCCTCCTGCAGCTGTCACTGCCGCTTGTGTGGTCACAGCCAATGAGAATTCTCCTGCACACCACCATCCAATCGGCTGGAAAATAAAGAGAGGCAAGGGATTGCTGGTTTGTTTTGAAAGGCTGGTGCATCAACAAGACCCAGAGGGTGTATAAGTGTGTATGTGTCTCTCTGAGCATGAAAACGAGAGACTATAAAAAGGAGAGATTTTCGTAAAATAAATGTTAGCTTGAATTTCAACTCATATCTTGAAAAATAAGCAATGATAGTTTAGATGGAATGTTTTAACCAACGGAAACAAACAGCAAACCTCAAGTGTTTGATTGTTTATATCGTAGCATATAAATTTAGCATATTAAAACATTTTTTTTAATTCATTAGGTATACGTAAAATGTAAAAAAAAATTATATTTGCTCCATTCTATAACGTTTAGATAACATTTATATAACATTTATTGCATATTTTAATCTATCTATCTATCTATCTATCTATCTATCTATCTATCTATCTATCTATCTATCTATCTATCTATCTATCTATCTATCTATCTATATATCGATCTATCTATCTATCTATCTATCTATCTATCTATCTATCTATCTATCTATCTATCTATCTATCTGTCTGTCTATCTGTCAGTCTGTCTGTCTTTCTGTCTATCTATCTATCTATCGGCCAGCAGCACCATTTTGTAAAATGGTAACCTACAAATATGCTTCATGTGGCCCTTAAATTAATGTAATTTTTTTTCAAATAAAAATGACATTTATTCATTACTGAATCAACCTAAATATACATTAGGTTCCGACAGCAAAACTAATTCTACCACATCTATTAGCACATCACATTATTAGATGCCACATCTAATCATTTTACCACCCAGCAGCACACACAAAAATCTAATGCTAACCTACAAATATGTTTCATGTGGTCTATAAATTAATTGATTTTATTAATATAAAAATCACTTTTATTTATTACTGAATCAACCTATATATATATATATATATATATATATATTAGGTTAAATCAACAAAACTAATGCTACATTTATGATTAAAATCAGATAAATAGTAACGTAAGCATTATATACATTCTTAGATATGACAACAGCTTACATAAAATTGTATATAAACATTGTTTGACAAATGTAATAAAACAAATTAACTATAAGCATATCATATTTAAGGAATCCCAAACAAAGTTTCTCTGGCCCAGCTCCGGGCCACACAATTAGGTTTTGCTTGGCCCAGCTGCCGCATTAAATTACGATACATGACTGGACCAAGTCTGGCTGCCAGAGAAGGGCCAAACATGGACCATTTTTTATTTCTTTACTCAAAATAATTTGAATGTATTTTAAATACGGGCCACGACAGGCCAAATTAATGTGGTACACATATACATTTTTAACATCTGGGCCACATACTACATTTTACATCTGGCCCAAATCTTGTGTGCCACCCTAAAGACGGTGCCACCTTTGCCAAAGAATTATTGCTTACCTAGGGTTAACAGTAAAACATCGCTAAAGGGCTACAAATATTTGAGTTCATCCTAACTTAACAGCGTCTTCTAAGAAAAAAATAGTTGTGAAAGTCCATTTCACCGTTTCTGTGAATTAGAAACACTACTGTAAATCCTACCATCTCGACGTTTCAAGCAACCGTCACCTCTCTCCTCTTACATGACCGAGAAAAAAATGCGAAAGCGTAAATACTTGATCTAGTTTGTCCCTCTTGCCACCCCGTCCGTTATAGCGCTCACAACAACACCGTAACAACACACCCGATTATCATCATCATCATCATCATGAGCTTCGCTCTTCTGTCTGTCTGCTTTCATTACCGGCTTATATGGCATTTCTGATCAAGTGTTTTAAAAGCTGACCAGATATATTTAACGTAGCCGAGTTTTACTGGCTTCTGTCTGTCTTCTGACATATTGAGGTAAGAATGAACGAAGCGTTTCGTTTGTCAGCTTGAGGGATATTAAAGCAGCGAATATAATATAAATTATGTATGTTTCCGTCTTCTAGGGACTGCATTGTGTTTTATGACTTTACAGTGGTGTTAATACGAGTATCTTTTACACATCAGTTATGATCCTCACATGTCGAATCTTGCTCAATTTGATGTGCTTTCACTTCATTAGACAGGTGCAATTTCATTTTCATATTCATCTAGTTTGATGTATCAGATTAATAATTTACAGTATTATCAAAGCCAATAAATCTGATGTTTTAATTCATATAATATTTATGCACGACAACTAAACCTTCTCGTGTTTAAATTGACAGCGCAGATAAATGGCGTTGTTAATAGTGATAATAATATAATAAATGCATTGCACTGTACTCCAGATCTGTTACTGTGTGTTTATCAGTTTTGGGTGATGATTTCATCACAGCTCTACGTCACCTTTGTCCCTGATCAATGTGTAAACACTTGTGTTTACATAGTAAGCCTTTGTAAAGCGTCTTTGGCACATTTTGGGATCTCCAAATTTATGTATTGATGTAAAGTTGGATTTATATTCACACATTAGTTCAGTGACAACTTAGGACATGCTCCCTATATTGTTTACCATGCTACTTTGAATATCCGGTCAGGAATAACATGCAAGTATGTCTTCAAAACAACATTAGCACTATTTAGTTGACAGTGAACAATGTTGTACTTTGATAGTCTTTGGCTGCTAATATGATTTCTCTATTAAGATTTTGCAAAGATTACTTTTCTGAAAATATGATGTCAAGGAGAAAGTCTGAATGTGCGAATATAAAACTAACTTTACGTCAAAAATCTATTTACTTTAAAAATGATAGTATACATATGGAAATGCTCACACAGAAAAATAGCTTAAAGTAATAGTTCATCCAAAACTGAAAATTCTTTCATCATTACTCTTTGTTTACTTGTTCCAAACCTTTTTTTTTTTGTGTGTGTGTGTGTTAATATTTTGAATGAAACTATAAACCAGTAATCATTGACTTCCGTAGTATCTGATTTTCCTATTATGTCTGTCAATGTTTACTGGTTTTTAACTTTCTTCAGAATATCTTATTTTGTGTTCAACAGAATATAGAAACTCAAAAAGCTTCGGAACCTCTTGAAGTGGAGTAAATAATTGCGGTAAAGCTGGTTTTTACATTCGTACATTCATTCAGTGACAACTTGTGACATGCTCCCTATATTGTTTACTGTGGTACTTTAAATATTCGGTCTTAAATCAGGGTGTCAGTGGGGTCATTTTAGAGTTTAAGGCCCTTAAAAAGTATTTTCAAGTCATAAATGCTATTCTAGCTATTATATTTGGTAAAATTTTAGATTATGTAATGTACTGTATAACGTGTAAAGTGTAAAGCCTAAATTTAATCTGTGAATATTGGTGTGCTGTGTAGTTTATGAAATTGATAAATTCCTGCTTTTTAGCTGAATTTAAGGTCACAGTATTGTTTACTGAAGTAACCAAGGCAACACTGTTACACCTGCTGGAAGATGATCAATTAGTATTTTTATTCATCATATGAATAATGTTTCAGTTCAGGGGAAGGTATGCTTTACGTAGTATAATTTTACAAAAACAGATTGTTTTTCCATCTTAATATTTCATTATTTTTAATCAACATGGGATAGAGCACATAAAAAAATGTCACATACTCCAAATTTTTTCTGTTTTCTAAAATTCTAAAATATGGACTTGCAAAATCGCATGAAAAGTGACAGTCTGAAGACAGTCTGTATTTGGTAAATATATAGTTAAAATGTTCCCAAACAATGTTACCGGTTGAAACCTAAAGTGGCAATGACAACCTAAATATAAAAATATCTTTATATATATATTCATATATATATATATATATATGAATATACTCAAACATGCACTTATTCGTATGATTATTTTTCTCACTTTTAGATTTTTTTTCCACAATGTACTGTATATAAATCAAACAAACAGCGTTGTTATTTTTACGTTTTGTAAGCTTTCCCACATATACTAGTTAAAATTATTTTGCACGTCATCGTAATTTTTAAAATGCGATAGTGTCGATATCTACTGCGATAGTGTTCAGGAGCGCTGAATTACACCCTAGTGCTACAGTGTTATACTGGTTAAATCATGGTACCGCAGGTCCTTGCATCCGTGTGATCAAACGACTACTCAACAACAGAAATATTTTTTGACATTTTCAACTAATAGATTCAGTCCTAATAAAAAAGTAATTAGTAATACATCTTAAAATATATGGAAATCATCTTAAAATAGGTATCAAAGGGTATTGAATTTCACTCTTTGACGCCTGTATATACCGTGTAAATCTCATGCAAGTATGACTTGAAAACAACAATAGCACGATTTATCTGACTGTGAACAATGTTGTACTTTGACAGTCTTTGGCTGCTAATATGATTTCACTATGTAGGATTTGCAAAGAATAATTTTCTAAGAATATATTATTAAGAAGAAAGTCTGAATGTGTGAATATAAAACCAGCGTTACGTCAATGAGTAAATAATGAGTACATTTACATTTCTGGGTGTACTATCCCTCTAAAAAAATATAAGTTGTAATGAATCCCTTTTGTTGTCGTTCCTCTTCTGAATGAATAAATCACCTGTTCTCTTACAGGACAATCATCCGCAGTGACAAACGGAACAGCTGTGACATGGGGAACCTTTAGAGATGGAGAAACTGATTAGGTGAGTGTGTTCAAAGATCGGCAGGGTCAAACAATGGAGCATTTGTAGACTATTTTTTTTTGTGGTCTCATGACTCCTCTGAGAGCGTGTGCATCACTGTGTTTGTAGCTCTGGTGAGGGGGACAGTTCTGGGGAGAGAGGTCTTCTGCACACGTGGAAGGGATATTCATACAGCACCGCACCAGAGAGGGTGCTGCTCTCCCGGCCGGTGCTCCAGGCTGCCCTGGGAGCTAGACATGGTGTTCTTCTAGTAGAGGGTAATGTATTTATTATTCATTCTGGAATAAGGCATAGACACACATGGTAGGAAATTATAAAATTTTTGTCTGATTCTGCACCAGTTATGAATAATTGTATGCCTTTGGGATTTTTTATTGGAATGTAATGACGTGTTCTGGCTTTTAACAGCCTTGCCTACTTAACATCATCAGCCATGATAGATCTTGTTTGCTACAGTAATTCTATGGCATAGATCACTCTTAAAATTAAAACACTCATCTTTAACTTACACACACAGTTGAAGTCAGAATTATTAGCCCCCCTGTTTATTTTTTTCTCCAATTTCTGTTTAACGAAGAGCAGATTTTTTTTTCAACACATTTCTAAACAAAATAGTTTAAATAACTCATCTCTAATTACTGATTTATTTTATCTTTGCCATGATGACATTAAATAATATTTTACTAGATATATTTCTTGACACTTCTATACGGCTTAAAGTGACATTTAAAGGCTTAAGTAGGTTAATTAGGTTAACTAGAAGGTTAGGGTAATTAGGCAAGTTATTGTATAACGATGGTTTGTTCTGTAGACTATCGAATAACAATAAAGCTTAAAGGGCCTAATAATTTTGCCCTTATAATGGTGTTTAAAAAAATGAAAAATGCTTTTATTCTTGCCAAAATAAAACAAATAAGACTTTCTACAGAAGAAAAAATATTATCAGACATACTGTGAAAATTTCCTTGCTCTGTTAAACATCATTTGAGAAACATTTTAAAAAGAAAAAAAAGCAATTAAAGGGGGGCTAATAATTCTGACTTCAACTGTATGTTGTTGCAAATTGAAAAAATCAGCTTTTCTTTGTCCATTCAAGGAAAAGTTTATTAATGTTGTTTTAGATTATCTAAATCACTGAAAAATGTGCAAGCTGCTAAACTATATAGAGAAGGACTCCATAAGCAGGGAAAGGTTTAATATTTTGACAAACTACATTTATTAGATTCTCATCTCCTTGATTAGTTACAACTTTTTGGCCTTTTGTATTCCAACTGTTTTTTCCAGGCCAAATATGACTATACCTTAGCATTTTCAGCAATGGTTATTAGCAAAATATTAATGTTTCATTCAGTTCAGGGGTTTATGTTCTGCTGTTCAATATAGCCAACTGATAATAACGCATCGTGAAAACAATCTAAACACTTTAAAGCTAAATTTCAGATTGCACTGATTCCTATTGAAATGGCTTTTTCCTATTGAAATGGTTTCACCCTAAAACGTTTGCCAAACAACAATGAATGTGTCCACACCTTAAGATATATAATTTTTCTATTATTTTATCTACTATTTCTTCAGTAATTTTGACAAAGCAGCATCTTTTCAAACCTTTTATAAGGACAAAGACTGTGACTAAAGAAATATTAAGCTAATTAAGCAGTAGTCATGTAGTGTTTTTTTGTGGCTAAAAGTTTAATAATTGTATGTATTAGAAGAAAAAGCCTTATTATTATAATTATTATTATTATAATTATAAAAATATGATTTAGTTGTTTAATTTAACAAATTACAATAAAGTACAAATAAAATCATAACTAATCATGTGATTTTGTTAGCTCACATTGTTAGTTTTGTGGCGAACAATTCATCTGTGTCACTGTGTCACAATATAAAAAAAAAAACAGTTGCAGCTTCCGGTTCATGCAGACTTTAACAATTATATTAATATATTTATTTAAAAAGGCTAAAGCATCCTAGGGTTCCCTTAGAAGTTAATTGGGGCCCCCTAGTTTGCACTGGCCCCTGTTTCATAAAAGTTGTTTTTAAAAAATTGATGATTTAGAAAAAAATTATGTTACAATTCAGAAATGTACTAATTTGAATTCTATATTTAGGCGGACAAGTGTACAGTTTTGGTGAGTTGCCTTGGAAGCAGAACCAAACATCATCAGCAGAGCCCATTTTGGAGGCAGTGCTGAGCGAACAGCGTGTTGTTTTTGTGGCTGCTGGCTCCGCCCACAGCGGAGTCGTGACGGAGGATGGAGGAGTGCACATGTGGGGAGAAAATGTTCACGGCCAGTGTGGCTTGTTGGGACTGTCTGTTATCCCTAACCCCACCCCTGTGGGTGTGCTTGACTCTGAGGCCACGCCACCTCAGACGGTTAAAATCCTGGAGGTGGCATGTGGCGATCAGCACACCCTGGCTCTTTCAGCCAAGCATGAAGTCTGGGCTTGGGGTAGCGGCTGCCAGCTGGGCCTCAACACTTCAACTTTTCCCGTCTGGAAGCCCCAAAAAGTGGACCACCTATCTGGGAGGCATGTATTACAGGTGGCGTGTGGATCCGCTCACAGCGTGGCTCTCGTACGCTGTCTCCCTCCTCCACAGGAGCCCCGAAAACCCCCTCAAGACAAATGCGGTCAGTGCCATCAGCTGCTCTACACTATGACAGATAAAGAAGACCATGTCATTATCTCTGACGGCCATCACTGTCCACTGGGCGTTGAGATGGACAGCACTGAGATCAAGTCTGCAGTGGAGGGAAGTCCAGATCCGGGGAAACCAGGGAAGAGCTCTCCTACTGAACCTGTTCCTTGTATGTCCACCCAGATCTCCAAATCACCCACTTCCAGTAACATCTCCGAATCTACTCGTCCTCCAGAAAGCACACTTCCATTTGAACTTCAAAATCAGGTTCCTGCGTATTGCCAAGAATCTATTGAAGCACCTGTTGAAGACTCGGCTGCTCATGAAGCTCCAGCAGCAGCTGGAGAGGTTTGTGTGGAAGCATCTGAGAATAGCATCCCTGAGCCGGATAGCTGCAGATCCTCAGGGAAGTCTCCATATCCTGATGAGCAGGCGGTGAAGGCGTATCTGAAGAGACTTTCTGATCATGCTTTAGCAGAGCACACCATCAAGACCTCCAGCACAATTCATTCAGCTCAGGTTAGTCTCATGTGCAGCGTCCAGAAAGCATTACGCCCAAAAATTCAAGCTTATTCATCATTTATTCACACCTAACTTGTTTCAGTCCTCTTTGAGTTTCATTCGTCTGTTGAATCCGAAAGAAGATATTTTGAAGAATGATGTAAACCTGTAATCACTGACTTCCATATCATTTGTTTTTCTTACTATGGACGTCAATGGTTACAGAATTTCAGCTTTCTTCATAAAATCTCATTTTTTGTGTTTATTATTATTATTATTATTAAGAAAGAAACTCATAAAGGTTTATAACCACTTGAGTTTTTGGTGAAAACTCTCTTTAAAGATTGAAACTTTTGATCTACAATCGTTTTGAGTTCATAGCTTTTGTGCACCAGTAATAAATAAATCTGGCTAATACCTATAAACCAGGGCTGCCCAAACTTTTTCTAATGAAGGGCCAAAAACCAAACAGGATTGAGCCTATTGGAACGAAGGTAAATATACAGTTGAAGTCAGAATAATTACCTCCCCTTAGATTTTATTTTTTTACTTAAATATTTCCCAAAAGATGTTTAACAGACCTAGGAAATTTTCACAGTATGTCTGATAATATTTTTTCTTCTAGAAAAAAATCTTATTTGTTTTACTTCGGCTAGAATAAAAGCAGTTTTTTATTTTTTTTTTAAATCCTTTTTAAGGACACAATTCACAATTAGTCCCTTTAAGCAATATATTTTTTCCTGATAGTCTGCAGAACAAACCATTATTATACAATAACTTTCCTAATTACCCTAACCTGCATAGTTACCCTAATTAATTTTGTTAAGCTTTTAAATGTCACTTTAAGCTGTATAGAAGTGTCTTGAAAAATATCTACTCAAATATTATTTACTGTCATCATGGCAAAGATAAAAGAAATCAGTTATTAGAGATAAGTTTGTAAAACTATTATGTTTTGAAATGTGTTAAAAAATTTCTCTCAGTTAAACAGAAATTGTGGAAAAAAATAAACTGGGGTGCTGATAATTCAGAGGGGGTAATAAATCTGACTTCAACTGTAGTTGACATGGATGATTTTCTAATGTATTTAATAATGTATAAAAAAACGATAAAACATTGCTTTATATTAACTAATAGAGTATTTTTTATAATTAACTTATTACAATTAAAACAAAACTAATTTATAACAAAATTAAACTAGTTTTTGCCTTGATTTGCTTGCCCATGTCTAATGCATAGTCCTTTATCGGTCAAGTGACCATAAATACATTTTTAAAACTCAGATTAATTAACAACAGTTAAAAAAAATTTAATTTCAGTTTGTTTGTTTTTTGTAGCGTAACAATAAAATAAAATAAAAAAAGGATTACGTCAAATTAGAAAAGACAATCTCTGTGTTTAAAGCATTCGTCCCAACCCTCTCCATTATTCTCACTCTCTTCTTAGATGGGATGGTGGGCCAAATCAAAGGTTACAATGGGCCAACTTTAGCCTGCAGGCCCTATTTTGGGCATCTCTGCTATAAACTAATAATTGTTTCTTGATAACAGTCTGCACTGGTAAAATGCCCAATATTAATATTCAATACCTTTGTCTGAATATGCAAATTAATAATGTAACACCAAACGAAAAAATAAAAGAAAAACTGAAAAAAATATAACTTTTAATGTGACTACTGACATCGGACAACATTGGAAAATAGGATAAATGGCATAAATATTGAACATGGGATAACATAATGCAGAATTGAATAGATATGAACTTTTGAATGATTATTTTAAACAGCGGTATTACATTTTTTGTGCTTTTAAAGGTTAACTTACACAACTACCTGTTTATATCTGTTTTTTGCTCTGTTCATGATGATCCTTCAAAAGTCATTCTAATATGTTGATTTCATCTTTTGTAAATAGTTTGTGTACTTTGTGGAAAATGTGATACGTTTATTTTCTCTCAATTCTTTTGATGAATAGAAATTAGTAAAATTAAAGTAAAGTAAAGCAAAGTAAAATTACCAAATATTTGTAATAGAACTCTAATATAAATTCTTGTTACAATTCTTTATGGTCTTCTCTATGGTATTCTTTATTTATTCTATAAATCTTTATGGTCTCTTTATATATTTTTTTTATTTAACCATTTCCTTGCAACACACTTAAACCCTCTTTGAGAAGTTGACTTTGTTTATTTAGATACATTTTATTTGTTTATTGTAAATTAAGTTATATTTAATTACTAGTCAGTCGTTTCAAGCCATTTTCACTTAATTTTTTTAATTTCTGCTAAATTTCGATGAACAGCTCATATTTGCTCTGTTTCAGCTCTCGGGTGACCCTGCTAATCTGTTCGCTTCTGAGCCCTTGATCCCGGTTGCTCAGTCTGTGACTCCTATGGGCTCCGCATTGAACAACTTAGTGGTGTCGTGTGCCTCTGCAGTAGGGGAGCGTGTAGTCTCAACATATGAAGCGCTCTCCCTGAGAAAAGTCATTGGTTACTGGGTAAGTGTATCTCAAATCTACGCAATTTTCCCTCCTTCTTACAAAATAAGTTCAACATTATTAAATTAAATCTGATTATTTAAATTCAGCCCATGTAAATGATTTTCAACCAGTTACTTTAAAGGTGACACGGTGGCTCAGTGGTTAGCTCTGTCGCCTCACAGCAAGAAGATCGCTGGTTTAAGTCCCGGCTGGGTCAGTTGGCGTTTTTATATGGAGTTTGCATGTTCTCCTCGTGTTCGCATGGGTTTCCTCTGGGTACGCCGGTTTCTCCTACAGTCCAAAGACATGCGCTATAGGTGAATTGAATAAACTAAATTGGCCGTAGTGTATGTGTGTAAATGAGTGTACAGATGTTTTCCAGTACTGGGTTGCAGCTGGAAGGGCATCCGCTGTGTAAAACATATGCTAGATAAGTAGACGGTTCATTCCACTGTGGTGACCCCTGATGAATAAAGGGACTAAACCGAAGGAAAATAAATGAATGAATGAAGCAGTTACCTTTAAAAAGACTTTGAGCTGAAACAACACAATTCAAACAGATCTCATGTTGTCCTCCTACTTGCCACTTGAAACTAACCAATTGTGATCCATCATCCAGCTATGACATGTTTGTGCTCCAGGTTCCAGGAGAGGGTCGCGAGCGAGTGGAGGAGAGACTCCGTCTGGAAGAGTCCATGCAGGGGAAGAAGAGCTCCAGCCTGGGGGACATCCGAGAGGAGGAGGCAGAGCTCAGCCGCCGCCTGTCCCTGCCCGGCCTGCTCTCTCAGGGTACACACGCTCTCCTTCTCTTACACCCAGTGTCCCGTTTCCGTAAGTCTGCATGTGGATGTGTGAGCTGTCATTAGTGTGGACGTTTTGCTTCCCTCAACCATCAGCTCACTGCTCGCTTCGTGTTTCTGCTGCAGAGGCTATGAATAACTAACAACTCCATTCCTTTTAGTGACAAATTTCATAAATATTTCAGGCAAATGGCCGGATTTTTATAATTTGCTAGAGTGTTGCGGGAATAACGAGATTATGCTAACATTTACACATGCTTTTCTTACTTGGTGTTTTTGTCTTGTTTTTAGTCCAAATTTTTAAACATTCTTAAATCAAGAAGCATTTTTGTTTAGACGTGCAACAAATATTGTCTTGTTTTCAGAAATAATGTAATTTGTTTGTTAGGAAAAAAAAACACAAGAGGAAGAAGTAAAAATAAATAAGGGTGGGGGGGACAAAACGGTTGTCAAAGGGGTTACAAAATGAAGTCACCAAAGATGGCAAAAGCACACACATCCTTTACTCAAGTAGAAGTACAGATACTTAAGTTTATGGGTGCTTTCACACCTACACTTTTGTTTCCGAACCTGTCTCGTTTGCCCAGTTAGCGCGGTCGTTTGGCATATGTGAAACCACCAATCGCGCTTGGATCCGCGCCAAATCAATCGCTCTGAGATCGCTTGAATGAGGTGGTCTCGGCTCGATTGAAACAAACTCTGGAGCGGTTCGATTGCAGTGAAAAAGCAAACGATTCGAGCGCGGTTATATCACTGTGTTTTATGGATATGTAATAGGCATACGGCTATATGAAGAGAGAATTTTGAGTAGGGCGGGAAGTTTCGCGAGTCTCCTGGTAATCTCCCGGTAATCTCGCGTCTCCCTTCCGGTCCTTAAATAGGCTATGTCGCGCACCCTTCTCACCCCTCCCCATCGCATCTCTCCTCACTCTTCAGACACGTCGCACGCACCTTGTCAAACACCACCAAACCACCACCTCTCCTGACAGCTGAGCAGGACTGTGCAAAATAAACCCTGACACTCTACCAATGTGAGGAGAGTTTACTCGCACGTGACTTGTTTTAGCTCTTTTGGTCCGATTAGAAGCTTTGCAGTGTGAAAGCGAACCGCTCCAAGAGCAAAAAGCAACAATGTAACATTTGTAATCTCTGTTTCGGAACAACTGAATCGATTCACAGGTGTGAAGCACCCTGAAACGACTTTTGTACTTAAGTAAAAATTAAGAAGTACAGCCTCAAAGATATACTTAAGTAAAAAATATCCATTACTACTTCCTGTTTTCGTTAATGTTAGCGACTGGAGCTAACGTCATATCAATACATTTATACAAAATAACTTACATTTCTGATTTTGATGTAAAAAGTGTTGCTAATTTTTAGCAGGTAAGTAGCTACGGAACAACACTGCTCAAAAATCTGTCTATCATCAACAAACCCACAGCGTTCAGCATGTAGTTTTGCTGCTTTTAGATCAAAAACAACAACTGCCATTAATGTCCATTCATACACTAAAAAAATTGAGGTCTATATCTTTACAGATAATAAACATCTTCAGTTAACACTTAATTTTGACCAAAATGTTTGTTTTACTATAATAAATACTTAATATATTTGACTATTTTGAGCATTTGGTTAAAGCTGCTTCATTATCTTAAAAACTAAAATCAGAATATCTCATGTTTTCAGTGTTTCTTTATTTTTTCAAAGTATTGTGAATATTTTCTCTTATGGATATATTCTTTAATGCAGTTAATACATTTATTTTATGGGAAAAAAACAACAACAACATACACAGGCACAATCACAGCCTCCAAAACTTTTTTATTTCACGTGATAAAGATCAACTCCTCATGCTTTTCATTATAATTTATTAATAAATCACCCAGTGAGAATAATTATGAGGGTAAAATATTTGTTAAACTAATTTAAATGAAGACAATGGTATAATTTAAATAAAGACAACAGTAAAACAGTATACATTTTGTATTAGGAAATAGGAACTCAATGAAATAAATCTCAATGCACACAGCATTCATAAAGAATTTACCTTCACATGATTGTCATATATATTTTTTTGCTGTATTAGATTTAAAGATCAGAGAAATCTGTTTAGTAAACCGTGGTTGGAATTGGACAAAAGACAGAAATTTGATTGGGAATGTGTCTAATTTACCTGTGATCTGACTCAGCAGCTTATGATTTGGTGTAAGCAGGGATCTGACTCTTTCTCCCATTTTGATTTTATGTAATTTGATGAATACATCTTAATAATGTAAACATTTAAGGAGTGTTTCCTTAAAAGAAGCTAATTATTTGGCCAATGGGGTTAGCAAAATAATTTTATTTTCGCTTCGTAATAAGATTATTGTACTCACTCCATTGGCTGATTATTTTCAAGTCAAGTCAAGTCAAGTCAACTTTATTGTCAATCAAACCATGCAACAGTACATTACATAGCAGACTGAAATTGCCTTTCTCCCATACTCCATTGTGCAATTTAAAACAAGATATGACACACACTAAACATAAACTAAACATTTAACTAATTTATTTTATTTTTATTTATTTTATTTATTTATACAGGGACAATGTACAACATGACATGTTGTGCCAGAGTTAGCTATAAAGCTAATTTACATCTGTAGTCCCTGGGCAGGAAGTAACAAATTTAACAGTTATAACAAATACAATATACACTTACAGTACAATAAATACAACACATCATTGTCAATAAAATGAAATCAAATCAGTGGCTGCATATTTGATTTTGTTTTAGCCAAATTTTTAGAACAGTTTTAAAATTATTAAAAGTGCTGCTCTCTCTGAGTATTTATCTGAGTATTGATGGCATTTTATTCCATCTTTCTGCTGCTTTAACTGAAAAAACTGATTGTCCAAAAGCAGTTCTCTTAAGTTTAACTGAACAATCAGATGACCTAGTCTGTCTTATATTGCCCTGGCCGACGATCACACATTGTTTGAGGGGTGGTGGTGCAAGATCATGAAATATTTTATACATTAAACACACATCAGCATAAAATAAGAAACTGTCGAATGTTAGTAATTTTTGTTGTGCAATACAGTTGCAATGATGATAGCTCCTTGGCTTTTTAGCTAAAATGTTAACAGTTTGTTTATATATAACATACAATGGTTTTAATGTTGTAATGTTTGTATGCGACCAGCTTGTAGCACAATAAGATAAATGAGGTAAAATCATTGTATTCATAAAAAGTTTAGCAGCAGCCATAGGTAACTGATGCCTAATGTTTCTATAGATCCTCAGGCTTGCTCTAGCAATATATAATACAATAAATATATAATAAAAAAATTAAATTCATTTTACACATTATTGCACATTTTACTTGTTTTAACAATTTAGGGCCTAATGTCAACATACGTGGACAGCACATTTTTAGCTCATAAGTGGTTATTTAAAATACTTTGAATGTTTTATATTTTGTTAATGACATACAGTGTCATTCTGCAACTGTTTTACAGAATATGAAATGTCCCAAACCCGAAAAAATAGTTTTCAATAGTCAAAGCAAATTAACAAAAAAATTCTATGTTAAATATGCATAAAAAACATTCAGGAAAATGTTTTATGTAAATTTGGACCACGAGTCCATGTGCATGGACATCATTTTTCTCTAAAAGTACATCATATCAAAAGATGATACTTAAATTTTTATTCTAATTAGGTTCCAATAAGCCCAAAATGGCAAAGAGAAATAAAAAATGAATGAAAAAAAAAACACCTTGGGCCTTAAGAGGTTATGGAAAAACTTAATTTTGCTAAATTATTTCTGACTTTTTTTTTTTTTTTTACTTATCTAGAAAATGCTTTTTGATTAATTGGGGACCTATTATGCCCTTTTAAACAAGATGTAAAATAAGCTTCTGATGTCCCTAGAGTGTGTATGGGAAGTTTCAGCTCAAAATAACCACACACATAAGTTTTTACAACTCCTCAAAACTGCCCCTTTCAGGCTTTGATCGAATTGTGGTGTTTTAGTGACTGTCACTTTAAATTCTAATGAAATTGTGCTCCCAGTCGTCATTTCAAAAGAAGGTGAAGCTATAAACGCCAATGTGTCACTACAGCAGCAGATTCAAAACTGTAATGGTGGATGGCTGCTTCTCACTCAGGGCTATGATGAGAGCTAATGAGGGAGAGATTCTCATTAATAAGCAGGGCTTTCCCTCTCTGATGACGTATAAAGGGAGAATGTCAGTCAAAATGATTCTGCAGACTGTTTTTTATTAAGTATGATTATAAAAAAAATTGAATTGATACATTTTTACCATTAGAGACTGGTTATATGTGTTTACACCTCTTATAAAAGTTATTTTTGCATCATCAGTCTCCTTTAGAATTTTCAGATATTTGGACTAGAAACAAAGACTCTTAAGGTTGCATGGTAGAGCGATGGGAACTTGAGAAAAGATTGCTATGAATGTGTTGTTTAATTAGTTGAATATGTGAAGTTTGGTCGTAATCCTGTGCAGTGTGTTCAGAATTAGTTCATTGGGTTCAAAGTAAAACCCTACAAATCTCCGCTTGGCCAACTTTTTGATACTGTGTTTGTTAATGACACGGATCCTATTGCCATGGCTCTTCACATTTCTGCCGTCGGCACTTGTGGACACATTTCCCTTATATTGCTGTTGCCGTGGTTACAGACAATGCAGAGTCTGAGGTGAAGGCGTCGTCATCCAACACCACAACTGAAGGTATTTTTGTGTAGCTGTAGTTCTACTAGATGTAGTGTATAGATTAGTAGTAGATTTATAGATGAATCTCACAGAACGCTGTTAAATTTCTAACTCTAAATTCAATTCTTATGATCATTAAACGGGGTGACATGGTGGCTCAGTGGTTAGCACTGTCACCTCACAGCAAGAAGGTCGCTGGTTTGAGCCTCGGCTGGGTCAGTTGGCATTTCTGTGTGTTCTCCCCATGTACTCCCTGTGTTCGCGAGGGTTTCCTCCGCGTGCTCCGGTTTCCCCCACAAGTCCAAAGACTTGTGCAATAGGTGAATTGGGTAGGCTAAATTGTCTGTAAAAAGTGTGTATGAATGTTTCCCAGTACTGGGTTGCAGCTGGAAGGCAATCCACTGCGTGAAACATGCTGCATAAGTTGGCAGTTCATTCCGCTGTGGTGACCCCTGGCTAATAAAAGGAACTAAGCCGAAAAGAAAATATATGAATGAATGCTTTTCAGTTGATAGATACATTTAATGGATACATTAATCCAAGCTATCAAACATGTTCAAAGAAACTTTCTGCTCTAGAGATTTGCATGCATTTTAAAGTAGTTTAAATTAGATTTTACATTTAACAATGGTTTCCTTCTTTCTGCAACATGCACACACACACCTTTTCTCTTCTCATCGCCCCCACCTGCATGACAGATGGACCCCAGTGGGGCTGGAAAGTAACTCTGCATGGCAGCAGTCTGTGTGTGTTTGTTTATGTGTGAACCTGGCCATACTGTGAATATACTGTGTGTGTGTGTGTGTGTGTGCGTGCGTGCGTGCGTGTGTGTTTCACAGAGAGATGAACTGAGGTTGGCCAAGTCTTTGTGCTGTTAAATGATTCATGGGAATTTTCCTATGCTCTGTGTTTGTGCTTGTATGGCATAACCAAACTATGCATATTCAATGAGGAACAAACTGCCATAAGTTGCTTTTCCTTATGATTTATTATTATCTTAAGCTTTGTTCGCACTGCCAGTTCAAATTATGTGTATTTGTGCATCAAAGTTACAGGCAAAAAAAAATAATAATAATTGCTAGAAATCTGATTAATACATTCAGAATGAACAGGTTTCCTTAAAATGTGGGTCACACTTTTTAAAAAGGTTTTAACAGGTAATTTTAATTATTGTATTTAGAAAACTGAATTAATTACAAACATTACATAAACAGCATTTATTAATCATAGTTCAACATTTACTAATTCATGCACCTTAAATTAACATGAGCTAACAATTTGCTACTAACGTTAACTAACATAAACAAATACTGTAATAAATATATTGTTTATTGTTTGTTCATGTTGGGAAATTAATTAACTGACATTAATTAATACAACTTTATTGTAAAATCTTACCGAAATACGATTAAATATGGTGGGATTCCAATCTGATATGCACAAAAATAGGATTTGGTTTGTTGATTTGGACAATCTTTATAAGATCTACTGTTTGTATATAAATGAGTAAAAAACAATACAAATGCATATTTATTTTTAACCTCACATGATTATATCACAACATATATCAATCAAATGTTTGAGCGGATGTGTGGTTAATTTTAAAGCAGAAAAATCAGATTTGCACTTTGAACAATCTGAACAAGGCTTTCTGTCTTATTAGTACATGTAGAATACATTCAGGCTTTAGATATTAATGTTGCAGGTTTCTTTTAAGGTGTTTTGTGTTGTTGATTCTCTTTCTCCTTCACACTCTCTCAGTATCTCCTCGCCTCCTACGGAGAACAAGTCGCCCCCGTATGCGGGCTGTCCCGCTCGCTTCAGGAGGTATACCTGAGACTGATGCCCACCTGCCTTCCTTACAGACGGAAGTGTGGAGCTGGGGACAAGGCCAGGATGGACAACTTGGACATGGAGACCTCCTTCCCAGGTCAGAGTCTTTAAAATCAGCGGGGAGCCATGTGTAGCTCCAATCTTTCCTAACACGTTAGCAACTTAATACAATGTTAGCAACTTGTTAAAAGTGTTACCAATATCCATAAACATGGTCAAATATCCTTGCAACTTATGTTTTTGACTTATTCAAGCATTACACATTCGTTAAAACAAGTTCAGTTGTTAAAATAGTAGCATTTTAGTAGAACATGCTAAAATATGCTAACATTATGTCAAAAAAATGGCAGAAACATTCTACCAAAATCTCAAAACCTACTAATATTTTAAAACGTTAGTGTTACGGAAATGCTAAAAACATGCTATCATAGAACATGCTAACGTTTTGACTAAACAGGAATTGGCTACTGTATACTAGAACATGTTATTAATGTGCCTAGTAAAACAAATTGGCAAACATGCTAAAATTGCTAGCAACTTGTTAAAATGTAAAATAAACGACAAAAACATTAGCTACTTGTTAAAACATGCTAGCAATGTGATAAAACACAATAATGTCATGTTTAAATGTGCAGGTAACAAACCATAACAAAAAGAAAAATGCTAAAACATACTAGCAGTTTGCTAAGACATTTTGTTTACTTAAGGCATTACAAACTTCGTAAACCATCTCAATAACTTACCATAATGTTAGCAACTTGTTAAAAGTGTTACCAACATCTAGAAACATGGCAAAACATACTTGCAACTTGTGTTATTGACTTTTTCATGCTTTACAAAGTTGTTAAAACAAGCTACATTTGTTAAAACATGGTAGCATTTTGGTAGAATATGCTAATAATATGCAGAAAAATGGCAAAAACATTGTACCAACATCTTAAAACATACTAATATTTTAATATGTTTATGTGCACGAAAATGCTAAACACATGCCATTAGGATCTTAGAACATGTTAACTTTCCAGCTAAACAGAAATTGTTACCAGTATACTAGAAAATGTCAGCAACATGACAGAACATGCTAGTAACTTTCCTAATAAATCTAATTGGCAAACATGCTAAAAATGCTAGTAACTTGTTAAAATGTATAAGAAAAAACAAAAAACATTAGCTACTTGTTAAAACATGCTAGCAATGTGATAAAACACAATAATGTCATGTTTAAATGTGCAGGTAACAAACCATAGAAATAAGCAAAATGCTAAGACACACTAGCAGTTTGCTAAGACATGTTACTCACTTGAGGCATTGCAAACTTCGTAAACCATCCTAACAACTTACTATAATGTTAGCAACTTGTTAAAAGTCTGACCAACATCTAGAAACATGGCAAAACACACTTGCAACTTGTGTTATTGACTTATTCATGCTTTACAAGATCTTAAAACATACTAATATTTTAATGTGTTAATGAAAATGCGAAACACATGCCATTAGGATCTTAGAACATGTTAACTTTCCAGCTAAACAGAAATTGTTACCAGTATACTAGAGCATATTAGCAACATGACGGAACATGCTAGTAACTTTTCTTATAAAACTAATTGGCAAAAAATGCTAGCAGTAGCAACTTGTTAAAATGTATAAGAAATGACAAAAACATTAGCTACTTGTTAAAACATGCTCGCAATGTGTTTAAACATGTTAAAGTCTTGTTTAAATGCGCAGCTAACAAACCATAATAAAAGAGTAAAATGCTAAAACATGACAAACGCCTTAAAACATCGTAGCAACTTACTAAAATGTTAGCAACTTGTTAAAAGTGTTACCAACATCTAGAAACATCGTAAACCATCCTAGCAACTTGTGTTATTGACTTATTCATGCATTATAAATTTGTAAAAAAAGCTTCATTTGTTAAAACATAATAGCATTTTACTAGAACATGCTAAAATATACACTGTAAAAAATGTTACTTAGATCTAACTTATAAAAAGTGAGGCAAGTGGTTGCATCGGACGTTTTAGGTTGATTCAACTTCCAGCCTTTTTTAAGTATTTTAAACACTAAAACATTGCTTAAAACAAATGCAATAAAATTAAGTTGAGCCAACTAATATTTCTAAAATTACTCAAATCAGATAAACTTACTTTTTTTGTTAAACTTAACTTACTTATACATTGCTATATGTTGACTGTACTCATTTTAATTAAGTATTATGAACTTAATGATCTAAATAAAATTAACCATGCATATGTCATTTAAAACTAATTTAATTGACTTCTGGCTGTAACCTCAGAAAATAAATCTTCGTTTCTATATTGTAAGCACAATATACACTAGTAAAAACAGATAAACAGACTTTCCTGTCAATAACAATTAAATAAGAATGGGAAGATGGATTAAAGACCATAACATGTATTCAATATCAATCGATGTTCCTTTTAATAGTGACTACAAAATAGGCCATTAATGTGGCTACACGTACACAATACATAAATAAAAACATTAATAATACCAGATCCTATTGAGAAATCATCCAAGGCAACTCAGTGAGGAGATTTGCATATTTTGATGAAGATTTAGGATGCATAATGTCCAGTCCCACAAAGAGTCTCTAATATATCTCAAATGTATACAGTTTTGATGGATACTTGAAGTCGAGGACATCGGTAAGTCCAAACAGGAGCCATCATGCATTTGACAGTTTTGGCAAACCTCTGACAGTCCTATGATAATCCAAACTGTGTTGGGCTGATGGCAAATTTTTCCCGTGGGCAGCCGCATGCACCTCTGATTCCTCACAACTCTATTGGTAGAGACAAAAAGAAACAGGAGTTCAGGTGGTTGCTACCAAACAACATTAAATAGCTAAATACTAAATAGAAAATAACTATTAAAAAGTGAAGTTACAAAAGTCCAGTGAGAATGATGCATGGGTGAAACACCTTAGTTTATCAGTTAAAAATTACCTTAGTTAAAATTACCTAACTTCTATTTAAAAAATAAAAAAAGGTTATAGAGGTTGTGTAATTACATTATTCCAGGTGTTTTTAGTTATCAAATTTTAAAGAAAACTGTGATTTTACTCAGTGTAACAGTGCATGTCATTGTGGTTTCCTGTCAATCAAAGAATTGTTAAAATTTAGGTATTACATTTTTTGTTTATTTTGGCAACTTATAAAGCATAAGAATGTGTATTTAATTTAGATATTAAAACTGTTTGAAAATGGCTATATGAAAATTATAGAATACAAATTCTATAATTTAATTGTCATCTTCATTTTGCACCAAACTTTGCACGTCATAATACAAATTTTATTAAATAAATAAATACATTGCCATTTTACACATTACATTAAGGTTTACATTAAATTTTTGCTAAAGCTACATTTAATTGACATTTAATTAATGTCACTGGCAAATGACAGTTCAGTGATTCAGTGTTATCAGTTAGCTTTATTGAAAGACTGACAGATAATAAGAAACTGCATTAGGATATTTTTATACTGTTTTTACTGTTGCACACATAAAAAAACTTCAGATATCAAATGTAAGTTAATTCTATGGAGCCCACTATTGTTTGCAATTTTACCAATGTTTTACCTGCCTGCAAATAATTATAGCTGTAGTTGTATCTAATGTTTTTCTTACCTGGATGTGAAGTTTGAAGATCCACAGGTAACAAAATCACTTTGGTATCTAAAGACCAAGAACATGCATTTTAGAATGAGGTGCATACAATTTACATGGTTCTGTAAACATCAGTAGTAAATGTAATTTAAGTTAAAATAAATTGTAAATCTGTAATTTATTCACTATGCAGCATTAAAAAACTTATGGACTAAATCTCTAAAACACAAACTTTAAGTTATACTTTCTCTTACGTTAAACACAAACTACTTAACTGTTGCATACGTTTCTGCATTTAATATCCATCCTTAATGTGCTGCTATAACTTAGGTGAGCTAACTTTAGCTAAGTTAGCGCTAACAAACTGAACCCCCACACCCCGACCGCCCACCAGTGACCTTGTTAATCGGTTCTGCAACGTTAGTTATACCTACTAAGTGTTTTAAAACTACTTTCACTATTTTTTCTCAATAATATCACTTTTAATCGTTAGCATAAACTAGCGTTGGTTAGCGTTAGCCAACTTAGCTTTCCATGTGAGAGCAGTCTAACTGTTAACATACCTGAGGCTACAGTACAATTTACAAAGCTAAAACCTCACCTGCCTAGCGAAGACAGCAGTTTTGCATGACTTTACAATTATCATTCGGCTAAATTTGCAACTTACCGTGTTAATCAGATCCGCTGCTGGGAGCAGTTGATGTCGACCATTGCAGAAGCTGCGTCTGCCTGCTAAATCCCGGGCAATGAAAAAAGGAGTCACGCCAAACTATTAAAATCACGTTTTATGAACACCTGCCCACATCGACAGCTGCTCTAATAAATTGTCTGTGTCAACTCACTTTTAAAACATTTATTCTACACAATAACCACGTACAAAAATCTAATCAAATAAACTGCATTAGTTTTATTCAAAATATACAGTTATATAAAAACTGATATATTTTAAGTAAAGAGGAAGCAAATTTTATTTTTTTGGTATAAAACAAATAAAATTAACTAGATTGCAATTATTTAAAGTAGATAGAACCAACTTTGTGAGTGTAGCACTTTTTACAGTGTACCAATAATGTTCAGAAAAATGGCAGAAACATTGTACCAAGATCTTAAAACATACTTATATTTGAAAACCAAATATAAGCCATTGTTAACCATGTGTCAGTACATGCTAGCATTGTGTAATATTTGTTGGCAAATTAAACATACTTGAGCAATACAAGCTTATAGTAATGGCTAACTTGTTAAAAATTAGTAACATTTGTAAGTTGTTCAAATGTAGCAGAATTGGGCTAAAACATGTTAGCAACTTGTTGAATTGTGCTAACAACATGTTAAAATGTGCAAAGTAACTGCTAAAAGATGTTAGCATCTTGGTATACCATGTAAGAAATATGCTAGTTGTGTGAAAAGCAAGCTGGAAACATGCTAGCAGCACGTTACAAATGCTAGCAATGTGTTTTTTGTGGTTAAAAACTAAATAGGCCGTCCCAATTGCTCCAGAAGACATTTTCAATGCTGTTTTGCAGACAGAAGTGTTAGGCATGATGATCACCTCCTTTCAGGTCAGGGTCTTTCCATCATCCACGGAGGCACAAGGAGCTCCAGTCACATCTCATGAGTTGCATAACATTACAGGGTTTTAAATTTTTTATATGCTCTGCTAAAATGAGGACGATCTGTTAGATGCATCACAGAGGAACTTAAATTAGTGATTTGTTTGTCTTTCTGTTTATTTTTAGACTGCAGCCTGATTGTGTAAAGAGTCTAAATGGTAAGGAGGTGCTGAAAGTGGCTGCAGGGGCTCATCACTCTCTCGCTCTGACAGCACAGTCACAGGTGATACAGTTCGCTTATCTGTTACTCTTCTGTTGCCTGGCGAGTCTGTATCATATTAATCCGCCTGTAATGTGTGTGGGATGTGTGTGGCAGGTTTTCTCCTGGGGTTGTAACACTTCTGGACAGCTGGGACACATGGAATCGCCCACCACCTTCCCTCAATTGACCAAGGTACATGTGCACATTTGCATAAAAGAGAACAATATTACAAAAGGAGAAATAAAATGTCACAAGGCATGGCACTTTGTTTTTTGAAGGGTTTTAAAATCTTTAAATGATTTTTCATCAAAGAATCCTAAAGAAAGTGCATAATGTTCATCAACAAAAGTATAAAATGGGGTTGAGAACCACGGGGTTTTTCAACCGTTATAGCAATAAGAAATGTGCAAAATACATGCTCAAGGGTGTTAGCATCTTGGTATATCATTTAAGAAATATGTTATGTGCAAAACAAGCTAAAAACATGCTAGCAGTATGCTAAAAATGCTAGCAATGTGTCATGTGTCGTTTAAAAGTAAACGGGCTTTCCCAATTGCTCCAGAAGACATATTCAAAGCTGTTGCACCTCCTGCCACCTTTTATGAGCACCAAATATAATAATATATAATAATATTATATTAACAAGAATATTATAATAAATTTTGAAGAACCTTATGATGCTCAAGACTGTTGTGATGCCACAAAATTCAGCATTTAAATTATAAAAATTAAATAGTAATGATAATATGAATTCTATTACATTATGTAAAAATTGGGTATTTAAATTGTTACATTATTTTAAGTTTGACAGATTTTATTTTAGCAGATAAATTGAGTGCCTGTAAGCATAAAAGAAAAATCTTGGCAATTGTTGAGCCTTAGTGAAGTAGTGAACAAGGATTAATTATATTAATATAATATTTAACTCATTCATTCATTCATTTACGGGGAGAACATGCATGGGAGAATTCCACACAGAAATGCCAACTGACCCAGCCAGGACTAAAACCTGCAACCTTCTTGCTGTAAGGCGACAGTGCTATCCATGGAGCCACCGTGTTGCCCCAATATTTAACTCATAATATTAAAAATTACATTTAATTATATTTCTTTTACTTATTTATATGTACATTGTACCTATTCAATTTTATGTAAATAGTATTTCTAAAATTTTAGTTCATTTACTTTTAAATTATGCTTTAAAATTTTGTTTCAATTAAGTCATTCTAATTGTATAACATCAACTACGATTCCAAAACAGAAAAAGTTTGTATTTGCACTATTAAAAATAAGATAATTTTCTCTCCCTTTGAGGTCAGCGCATAAAACATTTTTGCATTTGAAAAACCCATCACTGGGAAACACATATACACTTCCATTCACACACATACACTATGGGCAATTTAGCTTACCCAATTCACCTGTACCGCATGTCTTTGGACTTGTGGGGGAAACAGGACATGCAGAACATGCAAACTCCACACAGAAATGCCAACTGACCCAGCCGAGGCTCAAACCAGCAACCTTCTTGCTTTGAGGCAAGAGCTCTACCCACTGCGCCACCGTGCTGCCACATACTCACAATTTTTTATTTATTTTTTTTCACAATGGCAATGACCTATACAATGTCTATACGAAAGTTGCATATACACAAAAAATCATAACAGTAGGATATCCATTGTGATTGCATTGATTTACCAGTGTCAGTTTACTGCTTTATACCAGTAAATGAAGTTTAGTTCATTAAGGTCCCTGCTAGTTGCCAAATTTGTATGGACAACATATGGATTTATCAAATATTAAATAAAAAAATCCTATTTAACTTTTAATATACAGTTTTTTTGTGAATTTTATTTATTTATTTCTATATTAAGTTGAAGTCAGAATTATTAGCCACCCTGTTTATTTTTTTCCCCAATTTCTGTTTAACGGAGAGCAGATTTTTTCAACACATTTCTAAACCTAATAGTTTTAATAACTCATTTCTAATAACTGATTTATTTAATCTTTGCCATGATGACAGTAAATAATATTTGACTAGATATTTTTCAAGACACTTCTATACAGCTTAAAGTGACATTTAAAGGCTTAACTAGGTAATTAGGTTAACTAGGCAGGTCAGGGTAATTAGGCAAGTTATTGTATATTGATGGTTTGTTCTGTAGACTATCGAAACAATATAGCTTAAAGGGGCTAATAATTTTGACCTTAAAATGTTTTTAAAAAAATTAAAAACTGCTTTTATTCCTGCCTAAATAAACCAAACAAGACTTTCTCTAGAAGAAAAAATATTATCAGACATACTGTGAAAATTTCCTTGCTCTGTTAAACATAATTTGGGAAATATTTAAAAAAGAAAAACAAACTCAAAGTGGGCTAATAATTCTGACTTCAACTGTATATGTTTGTTTGTGTGTCATCTCTTTATGAAGTATGAAGTTGTTCTTATCATGTAATGTTTTTATGTATATTGATCTTACTATGAAATTGCCATAAGTGGCTGATGTGTCAATAAATGAATGAATGAATGAATGGACAACATCCAGATTCCTGACTGTTTTGCTTTTTGTTTGTCCTCTTTTGTCTTTGCGCAGCTGTCAGATGGGATTCGTGTGTGGGATATTGGGGCAGGTCTGCAGCACACTCTCTTATTGGCTGACGGAGACTGTATTCAGCCAATCCTGTACTACAGCGGACAGCAGGTGAAGGAAGTGCCGGAGCCAACAGAGGAAGAGGAGCAGACTGCAGAATACACGCAACAACCTGTGCTGCTGCCCTTCTGTATGAACGTGAGCAAGTCTTCTCATCATCAACATCACTTCAAATCATTTTTTTTTTGTAGGGATGGACGATTAATCGATAAAAAAAAAATGCAGTCTAGATTCAGATACTGATGCAGTGTTGAATATAAACGGTCTCAATTTCATCTTTAATATTCCTTCTATAATCAAACTGTACATTTAAATCTGCGTTAGAACCAGAGTCATTTCTACCAGCATTATTATTATTTCTTATACTGATGTTTTAATTATCACAAAAGTACTGGAATAATAGTTATGTCATGAACACTGATGCTTACATGAAGATTTAGTATACATAAAGATTTAAATTTGAAGACAGCTTAATGGTTCAAATAAAGATTGTTAGCACTTACAATAGGTGATTGAAAGCTACTATTAAAATGTATTAATAAACATTTTAAAATTAATAATTATTATTAATAAATATTAATAAAACATTTTAATAGATTTTTCATACATTTTGATAAAAGTTTTAATTAAATTAATGTTTTTATTATTAAGGGAAAATAAAATCCAAAACTACATAGCAATGTTGAAAAAAAAAACTTTGCACTAAAATATCATGAAGGAGAACATCTGGCCCACTGTTGGTGACCTCAAGATAAAGCGAACTTGGGTTCTGCAGCAGGACGATTTTGCAAAATTAAAAACAAAATGAAGACTTTGGAGTGGCCTAGTCATAGTCGTGACCTGAATCCAATTAAGATGCTGTGGCATGACATTAAAAAGGTGGTTTGTTCTCAAAAATCCTTCATTGTGGCTGAGTTCCAACAATTTTGAAAAGATGAATGACCAAAATTTGATGTAAAAATTGTAGACTTTGTAGTGGCCTAGTCATAGTTGTGACCTGAATCCAATTGAGATGCGGTGGCATGACATTAAAAAGGTGGTTTGTGCTCAAAAATCCTTCATTGTGGCTGAGTTCCAACAATTCTGAAAAGATGAATGACCAAAATTTGGAGTCAAAATTGTAGACTTTGGAGTGGCCTAGTCATAGTCGTGACCTGAATCCAATTGAGATGCGGTGGCATGACATTAAAAAGGTGGTTTGTGCTCAAAAATCCTTTATTGTGGCTGAATTCCAACAATTCAGAAAAGATGAATGACCAAAATTTGGAGTCAAAATTGTAGCCTTTGGAGAGGCCTAGTCATAGTCCTGACCTGAATCCAATTGAAATGCTGTGGTATGACACTAAAAAGGTGGTTTGTGCTCAAAAATCCTTCATTGTGACTGAACTCCAACAATTTTGAAAAGACGACTCAGCCAAAATTCCTCCACAGTGCTGTAACAGACTCGTTGCAAGTTATTGAAAATGCTTGGTTGCAGTTGATGCTGCTAAGGGGAATCAACCAAAATTGTTCCCTGATTGTTTCAATTATTATTGTATTATGAATTCTTTACCTTGATGTGGTGTTATCACTATTGTTTGAGTTGACTCTACATGATCTTTTTGTGTTGCAGTTGGGCTATGTAAGCAGTGTGTATGCAGGTGGACGGACGTGTGCAGCGCTGACGGATTGTAATGTCATGGGTTTTATTGCTAGTCTGCATGAGCTGGCGGCTGCAGAGAGAAAATATTACTGCAAACTCAGCAATATCAAGAGTCTTCTGCTCCAGCCATTGCTCAAGCTGGGTATGACTGTGTGTGTCACAATTGCTTGTTTTGTACACTGATTTAGACCTTCATTTGCATCTTCATTATAGCCCTGGAAATCTACACAAGTATCGTCTTATTCAGCGGCACATTTAGTGGAAATAAAACAGCTGAAATCAATGCTTAGTATATGCAAACGCTTTTGTTAACTAAAACTATATATATATATATATATATATATATATATATATATAATTTAATTTATAATGTAAAACGTAATATTAGCATTAAGGGTATTACCCTTAACTAGAACTATTAACATTTTACATATAAAAATATAGCATATAAACCATTTTACTGGAGATATTGAGTTTATGTGCTTACCAATGAACAAATGATATCTGTTGTTTAATTATAGCTCCATAATTGGCTGAAATATGAATTAATTTATATTGTCAAATTTGCATATTCGGAAAGCACCAAAAATGTTGCAATATTTAATTATAGTAGAATAAAATTAATCCAACTGTTTAAAATGAAAAATATTACATAAAAATAAAAACAAATAAAATTAAATGATTAATGTAATTAATGTAATAAAATAAAATATTATATATATATATATATATATATATATATATATATATATATATATATATATATATATATATATATATATATATATATATATAATACATTATATAATACATTATAATAACATAATAAAATATAATATATAAAATATATAATATAATATATTAAAATATAATATAATATAATATGATATAATATAATATATTTTTATATAATATAGTTTAAATACATTACTTTCCTTTATATCTGATTAACAGTTTGATCTTTTTTATTCTCATTTTTATTATTATTATTTTTTTTACATTTATGTTTAGATTCTCTAAGCTCTGCCCTGGGTCAGTCATCTGCAGGGCTGTTGCAGAATCTGATTGGTCGAATGAGTCGACTGTCTCAGCTTACAGGTCAAAACTCGGCCTCTCTGACCTCGTTCCTGCAGCGTTCACGAGACATCCGAGGTCTTGTTATTCTTGAAGATGCACATCTGTTCCTGGACACATATTCAGAGTAAGTATAAAGCACAAACACACAATTAAGCAGTCTAAATAAACTGGTTACCACTACAGATCGAATAACTGTTTTTACCCCTGTGCTCATTAAAGAGGACATATGTTGGGAAACAGCAATTAAATGGTTAACTGTGCTGTTTTAACGTACTCTAAATTTCGTAACATAAAATAGTTTCTTCAGTCCATCAACACTGGTTTACTTGGAACAAAAATGATTTTAAGTTTAAATTTATGACATCATAGTTAAGACTATATCAAAAAAGATCTTTTTTATTGTTTTTACATTCAGCTTCCTGTAGTGTGCAATGTTGCTTTTTTAGCATAAAAAGGTCTGTAAAGTTACAAAGCACAAATATTTTTTGCTTTGATGCGCAAGCTGTAAAAGCAACACACTTTGTTTGGAAAGGAGTGGGGAAAAACAGCTCATTTGCATTTGAAGAGACACACAAAAATATGTGATGTTTTCCTTCTGCTAAAAATTGGCATTTACAGCATAATAATAAATTATCCATAAGGTATTTCAAGATGAAATTTCAGGCATATTTTGGGGACACAATAACAGTTATTCTATACAAAAAGCTTATGACAACTGCTAATCTAAAAATCTGAATACTATAACTTGTAGTGTCTCAATTAGTTTTAAATCAAATTTATCAGACAATATCTCAGTGGTCCTATTAAGTGGTTTTAGATGATCATAAATTTAGGCTTAGGCTTGATAATTTTTTTAAGAGAAGTCATGCTTTTATAAGAATGAAAAACTTTGATTCAGAATCTGATAATTTTATTCAGTTCTGAATGTGTAAGGTCCTAGAAAACCTTTAAATGCTATTGAGTTTTAATTGATGAAACTTAAGAAAACTTATAGACTGTAAAAAAAAAATGGGCGTAGTATCCGTGACGTCACCCATAGGTTTCTAAAGAGCGCAAATGAAGCTACGAGTGGGCGTGGCCAACCATCAGCATTTTGTTCGCATGTCATTGCACCAACTAGAGGTAACCAAAAAAGGCCAAAGAGGAGGAGTGTGAGCGGAGCTACAGATGCCTGCTAGCATTTTGCTTTGACAGACTTTTCTTTTAGTCTTTTAAAACACTGTTGTAATACATTGAGCCACTAAGCATTGTTTTTAAGATGTTTTTATACAGGAGGAAAACGCAAATTACCTCCAAGCATTTCAAATATAGTCTGTGTTAGTAAATGCAAGGCTAATTATGAAATCCAGGCATAACACTGTATGACAGTGCTTCAGATGACTGTTCTAGAACCTACAGCTAATCAACCTGTCAGATTCTGGAGGGCTTTACAGGTCTAAACAACATTATAAATGATAAATGATCTTAAATAAAACAAATACATTTATAGAGATGGTGTATACAGTAAGTATATAATTTCACTCACCTGTGAAATGGAGGCCATGTGAATGGTTTGTGAGCACAATTAAGTGCACACAGCATACCATATCATCTGATAATTATAAGTAATAATGCCTAAAGGCAACTGACTGTGTAAAGCCACATAAAACAAAACAAAAATTCAATGTAGATGCCGAGTTCAGCGGCTAATCAGCCGGAATCAGATGAGGTGAAATGACGGTGACCAGCGAGACATAGCTGTCACTCAAGTGGCCACGCCTTTAATCAGGCAGACTTAATGTAACTTAGTATAAATGAAACGGATGAGTTCTAAAAAAAATTCACCCCCTTGTGGTTGTCATGAAGGTAATATTAGCTATATGAACCAAAATTGTTCTTTGTACAAGGCTATAAACACTTTTTTTTCTGCTGTAAAGCTTGCCATTTTAACAGTGGGCTCAATAAATCTGCTCTATTATGGAGCCAGGACTAGCGGAATTTTGATGAATTGCAGTTTTAGTTACTTCCGTATTAACTTTGTGAGGGAGAGCGGGAGGTTGCCTTCCGATAAAACCTTAAAATATCATGGGATTCTCTGTTGAAAATTTTCTTTGGAATCTCTTTGGAGCCATGTAAAGGGATAGTTCACCCACAAATGAAAATTCTGTCATCAGTTAATAACCCTTGACTTGTTCTAAGCCAGTTTAAGATTTTGGGTTCAACAGAACAAAAAAATAAACAACTTTTTAAAACATACTAAAATGAAAAACATTCTAAAATCAACTTATATAAACACCTTAATTATATTACTGCCTTATTTAGATCAAGGTAAATAATTTAATTTCTGATGTCCATGTAAACGCAGTCATTGTGTTCTACAGGTACTCTTCTGCAGTTGGTGATCTTTTAGTCATGGGAGGATTTCAAGCCCTTGTCAAACCTTGCCAGTAAGTGTGTCTGTGTGTCAAATTTTACACTTTCTCCAAAAATTGAAAGATAGTTATATGTATTGCTCAAAAAATGCTGGGTTTGCATAGTACAAATGTTAATATACTGTATGTCAGATTGTAATTAATAATCTATGTATCTGACTCTGTATGAAGTGATGTGTTTGGGAAAGGAGCAGAGGTTGTTCAGAGGTTGTCTGAATGTTCTGAAGAAGGTTTGACCTTGGCAGATGTTCTGGCGCATCTCTTTTACCTGCCCATAAAACACCTGCATGAATATGGACGACTGCTGCTTAAACTGGCTACCTGCTATGAGGTGGTGGGTTCATATTTACATTAATTTTGGAATAAATGTTTATATTGGAACAATATATTAATATTATAATTAGTATAGTTAGTATTTATTAATTTCTTTAGTCATGAAAAGTGTTTATTCATAATAAATGAATTTCTTTTCTCGTAATTTGTATTATTGTGTATTTGATTTCTTATTTTTATTCTTATTTATGCTTATTTATATATTCCTATTTTTTATTTATTTAATTATTTATTTATTTGGTTTGTTTGTTTGTTTGTTTGGTAGTTTGTTTATGCATGGTAACATCTGAACATTTGCCATGGTAACATCTCCCTTAACAAGAAAAACTTAAATATATTTATAAATATATTCTGCCAAACAGTATTATTATTGATAAATTCTTAATTTGTTTGTTTGTATATTTTATTAATAACATATATTTTATAGTTTTTATTTATATTTATCTTTAAGTATTTTTCTCTATATATAAAGATTTTTTTTAAATTGTTATTATCTATTATTTATTTTTTTTAAATGTCAACATTTTTGTTTACATACACCAATAAAATGTATTCAGAAAATAATAAATCTTTGTGTAAATTAATTAATTTGTTTATTTTGTGTTCAACAATTATTCAAATATTATGAATTGTTTTGTCGTGTAAAACATTTTTTTTCTTCTCCATGTTATTATTCATGTTTTATGTGTAATTGTAAAATAAAAGATATAACAGCGTCATATAAAAATAACAATAATGCATGCAGTGTACTTTTTGTTTCTTATAATTGATATTTGTCTGTGTGTGTGACAGAGTTCTGTGGACTATCAGAAGCTGCAGGATGCCTGCTCAAAGTTCGAATCCATGGCTCTTCATCTAAAGAGGAGGAGAAAGGAAGCTGAATACACGCTCCACTTCTGGAAGAGTTTTCCTGGAAAGATGACCGTGAGTGAAGGGCTTTACCTGTCACACGCCTGTCGGTTTAATGCACAGCAGACATCCAAGTGCTCTTCATGCTGTGCACATAGTTTTTATTTCAGTCAGAAAGAATGTGGATGAAATTAAAACTACAGTTTATAATGACTGTGTCATTACATCACAGCTGTATACCACTCATTCCACAATTGCAGGTACATTTTAAGCTTTTTCCACACATTTATAACCCAGCCTAATGTAGCCGTGTGGGTGTTGGAGGGTTTGAAAACAGTATGGTGTCACTCTACCTTTTCAAACTTCCTCTCGAAGTAGATTGTGCCTTAGGTGGTCATGTTGCACTTTTCTCTCATGGTTGCTTTTGAAAACACTATTGGTTGGGTTTAGGGAAGGCTTTAAGTTAGGGTTCCACTAAATAAGGGGGTTCCCAAACTTTCCAGCCCACGACCCCCAAAATAACAATCCAGTCACTCGCAATCTCGACTGTCTTTGGATAAACGTACAAGCATTGCACACAATGGTGCACCCACCCCAATAGGAACTATGTAAACACATATTGACAACATAAAAAAGTGCAGTTTTACAAGCATAAGGTTTTTTATGTAACTATTAAAAACTATTTTTATCTTCGGTAGGTTATGGATAAAATATGGTAACTAAAAGTTTAATGACATATATGAGATTTTTGGAAATCCCCCTCTGATTGTCTCTTGAGCCCCACTTTGGCAACTACTCTACTAGATGATCCATAAAACAAGATAAAGACGTGCACTATGTGGCATGGGATAAGATTTGATAGATGAATAAGGTGTGGGCAGTAAGGTCCTCGTGTATATGTGGGTTGCGAGAGAATACATTTCATTTCATTTTCTTGTCGGCTTAGTCCCTTTATTAACCCGGGGTCACCACAGCAGAATGAATCGCCAACTTATCTGGCAAGTGTTTTACGCAACGGATGCCCTTCCAGCCGCAACCCATCTCTGGGAAACATCCACACACACATTCAAACACTCACTCATACACTACGGACAATTTAGCCTATCCAGTTCACCTGTACCGCATGTCTTTGGACTGTGGGGGAAACCAGAGCACCTGGAGGAAACCCACACGAACGCAGGCAGAACATGCAAACTCCACACAGAAATGCCAACTGAGCCGAGGCTCGAACCAGCGACCCAACGACCTTCTTGTTGTGAGGCGACAGCATTACCTACTGCGCCACTGTAATTTATTTACTAAAAACAAATACTCTGTTATTGTCTACTGCACAAAAGCAACAAGAACAACTTAAATCAAATACAAGCAGGCGCAAAGTCGAAAGCTAATTGTTGTGTGGTTCATTCACTTAACAATAGGCTTATTGCAGTTTACTTTTATTTATTTAGCTAAATATTGAAAATTGGTCTGTTTTTATTTATTGAAAAATAAACATAGCCTATGTTCAACGTTTGGACATTGCTGAAGGCACAAAATGTCTAACGCAATTTCTGAAGCAGTATTAAACCTGTTATATATTTCTGCGTCAAGTGATTGGCGTGACCCACGGCGCATGCAGCGTGCGTAGTTGTGCATTTATACTTCTGCACGCTGTTTCTGTTGCTCTGCAGTAACACTTTTGAAACGCTAGTTGGCAGTGATGTGTTTATGTTTCTCTGTGTCGAGTTTCTTCGCTGGTGTTTTGTTTTTTCTAAACGCTTCCTTAACGTACAAGTGGCTCAAACTCTCTCATTTTGAGGCAGGAACCGGCGAACATGCAACAACTGTAATCATGAGGTAAACACAAAACAAAACTTTTCATCTGGAGCTCCTTCACGGGACTCCACACTTGTAAACACTCACTCTAATGGACTCGAGCGGCTCTCGATCTCACCCACACTCATCAGTGATACTAAGCCGATTAATCATAGAGCTTGCGCTATGCACCGTTGTTACATTTTTGAGAGGTGCGCGTCAGCGGCGGCGACGGCCACGATAAGGGCTATGCGTCCACACATAGGCTGCGCCGTAGCATACGCGTGTGCTTGACGCAGAAGTATTAATCAGCCTTTAGGCCACTTGCTTTTCTGTTTGACCATTTGAGAAATCAATGTTTATTATTATTATGTTTCATTGCAAAATGTATAGCCTATTTCAAACCGTTCTAACTGTATTTCTATGTTCTTGTTCATCATTCCATGTAATTAAACTCAACATTTTTATTTTTTGTTTCTTTTTTATTTAACTTGAAAAAGGAAGCACGTGAAACAAATAGACTAGCGGGACGAAGCAGTGAAAATAAAACAACTTATATGTGTACCTGTGGGATTTTGGTGGGTGGGAGGGGGACAAAACTTGAATATTGCAGGCGGTAGAAAAATAAAAAATATTTTTAAAGGATGGGGGCAGAATTTTTGCGGAAGCAGGACTGAAAATTACAATGCGCACAAGCCCAACCTTCTTGTCGACGTGAACAAAAATGACATGTATCTGTAACGTGTAACAAAATGAACCAGAAGCAACGTATTTTAGATTTGTAAAACTGTAAATAGCGCCCTCTAGTGGATTTATCTTCTGAACCATGCAACAAAAATATTTTGCGTTTTGTAAAAATCATAGGCTAAGGCATACTTTTCCAATGACTTTGGGTTGTTAATTAATAAAGTCTTTTCTTCTTTCAGGACTCCCTGCGTAAACCGTCTCGTCGGCTGATCTGTGAAAGCAGTAATAAGGCTTTGACTCTTCAAAACGCAGGACGTTTTTCCGTCAACTGGTTCATCCTCTTCAACGACGCACTCGTTCATGCACAGGTTTGCTCTTTGTCTTTACACATCCCTTTTACTATCATTTCAGTTTCATTTCAGCTCTATCTCTGCCTTTTCTGTTAATCTCATCCTTTTTTTTCCTTACATAATGTTTTCACTTCTGCTTTTCATTCGCTTATAGGACCAGACTAACAATCTGTTTCCAATGACTGATGTTGTAGTGATGTTTATCTTTGTTTTGGTAGGGTATGGTCCCCTATAAGAGTCTTGTAAGTATGGACCGTATATGAATAAAGAGTTTCCCAATAGCAGACTGTCCCCTAGTGCCCAAGGATGCACCCTACAGCTGTAGTGTTTGACCAATACTTTTGTTAAAGGAATATTCCCAGTTAAATCAAACTTTACTTAGGGAATCTGATTGATTAGAATTAAATTACAGGCTAATTTAGGCTCATCCTGGATTTAAAACAAAGAAATATGTGTATGTTAAGCAATATTAGCAATTTTTCATCCAAATTCGTGAATGACAGTTATGTGGAAAATTACAATATAATACAAATAATTATTAAGAACCGCTTCTATTCCAAGGAAACGAATATGTCATGTCTTGGGAAACTGGTGCATTTATTAATAATAAAAATGAACATTTGTGTATCCAGGGAAGCGTTAGGTCCTCTTTTCTAATATAATTTAGCTGACTTGTGCCTCGTGGAGCGCACAGACAGATAGCAAAAGCAATTGCTGTCTTTTTATCTTGTGTTTAGATGAATGATGTTTGCAAAAACATTATCAACAATTGATGATAGCCTTTGACAACTAAAACAGCAATAATTAAGACAATAAATAAACTAATTAGCGGACCAGTCGCATCTTCTGTTCTATGAGTTTTAAGTAGCACAGTTAGGAATTCATTTGGTACAAAGTAGTTTGTGAATATTGTATTATTGGACTGTTTGAATAAGTTTTATATATGCATTTTAAGATCTTATGTGCATCTTGACATTTTTTTGTGATTAAAAATAAATATTAAAATATGTGGACAGAAACATAACAATTGAGAAATGCTTTTATATTTTATTATTTTTTTATGTTTTCTAATTTCCATTTTCATTTAAATAAATTAAGTTTAGTAAGTATTTCTTTTTTGGTATTTTTTTTAAAGATCTGTAATGTTTTTTTTACAGCATATTTCAACTATATACTGTGCATCCGGAAAGTATTCATAGCGCTTCACTTTTTTCCACATTTTTTTATGTTACAGCCTTATTCCAAAATGGTTTAAATTAATTTATTTCCTCAAAATTCTATAATAGAATTTAGGTCTGGGCTCTGGCTGGGCCACTCTAGCACATTCACCGAGTTGTTGTGAAGGCACTTTATTAATATTTTGGCAGTGTGCTTTGGGTCATTGTCCTGCTGGAAGATGAAACGTCGCCCCAGTCTGAGGTCAAGAGCACTCTGAAGCAGGTTTTCATTCAGGATGTCTCTGTACATTGCTGCATTTATCTTTCCCTCTATCCTGATTAGTCTTCCAGTTAATGCTGCTGAAAAACATCCCCACAGCAAAACACTGCCACCACCATGCTTCACTGTAGGGATGGTATTAGCCTGGTGATGAGCGGTGCCTTCTTCCCCAGTCACTCAGCTTAGATGGCTGGCCAGCTCTAGAAAGAGTCCTTGTGGTTCCAAACATTTTCCACTTATGGATAATGGAGGCAACTTTGCTCATTGAAACTTTCAGAGCAGCAGAATTTTTCTGTAAGTTTCCCTTCCCACAGCCTTGTGGCTCGAGACAATCCTGTCTCGGAGGTCTACAGACAATTCCTTTGTCTTCATGCTTGGTTTGTGCTTTGACATGCACAGTCAACCCTATAACCACCTTATATAGACAGGTGTATGCCTTTTCAAATCATGTCCAATCAACTGAATTTACCACAGGTGAACTCCAATTAAGCTGCTGAAACATTTCAAGAATGATCAGTGGAAACAGAATGTACCTGAGCTCCATTTAGAGCTTCACGGTAAAGGCTTTGAATACTTATATACATGTGATTTTTTTTTTTAAATAAATTTGCAACAATTTCAAGAAATCTTTCTTCACATTGTCATTATGGGGTATTGTGTGTAAAATTTTGAGGAAATAAATGAATTTAATCCATTTTAGAAAAAGGCTGTAACATAACAAATGTGGAAAAAGTGAAGCTCTATGAATACTTTCCGGATGCACTTTAAACTGATGGATGAGTCAAAGCGATACACCGCTTAAGTTGCATTTAACCCAGAATATTCCTTTAAAGAATGTTTCTATCTAAAATGATGTAGTATTTGTAACAGAGTTCAGTTTGAAACTGTAGATTTTGATTAGAATTCCCATTTAGAGTCTACCTTTTCTAAAATGTCTTGTTTTTTGGTGTGTTTGAAAGCTTAGTAAGATGACAGTACATCTGTCTGGGTTCATTCTGAGGCTTCCTGCTTGTAAACCCTTTGTTACAGATCTGATAAAGCACCTCTGCATAAATGTACCTGTATCTGGTTGTGATAGAGGGCATGTTGTGCTGGACGGTTTATGTTAAACAGTAGTGGTTCTGTTTAATGCTGAGTGCTGTACTAGTGAATGTGTCAGTGAGTATTTGACATGATAATTCATTATTTTGCTCTGTTTTGCTCCCTTTGATACCTCATAGAGTGTTTGTATGTGTCTGTTTGACCTTTACAGCATTACACCTTTTTCATCCTTTGGGAAAAAAAGAACCATTTGTTCAGCATTTTTAATTTTCAAATGCTACGGTCATAGAATATCTTATAACTTACTTGTTTTGACACCATTAAGTCGTATATTTATTCTAATTATTCTTAGTATTCTATTATCTTTTACCACTAAAATAAAACACTAATTGCAGCCCTTTAAATGTTACAGTATTGTATTTAGTTTTATTTTAGCTTCTAATGGCTGCTAAAAATGAATAAAAATAGCCCTTGAAAGCACTAATTCTACTTCGAAGTTCAAACCACAAAGTTTTGAACAGTTATGTAATGATATACAGTATGAGAAACTGATATTTGTTTTGGCCTTTGCCAAAGATTACATTGAAATAATGTAATTAGTTTTTGTTTATACGTACATCAAAGGGATAGTTCACACAAAATTGTTGTACACAAAACAAGATATTCTGAAGAATGCTTGAAAGAATAGCTATTGACTCTTACACTACCTTACAAAGGCTTGTCAACGATCCCAGTTGTAAGAGCACCAAATAATAACTTGACCTCTAGTTGATCATTTGAAAAAGTGACAGAAGGTAGATTTTTCAGATGAATCATCTATTAAACTGCATCCCAATCATCGCTAATAGTGCAGAAATACTATTGGAACCAACATGAAGCCAAGATTCTCACAGAAATCAGTCAGTTTGGTAAAGAAAAAATCATGGTTTGGTGTTACATTCAGCATGGGTGCATGTGGGAGAAGTGCAGAGTGGATGGCCATTACATTACAAACCACAGGAGAGGGCAAACTCTTCAGCAGGATAGCGCTGCTTCTCATACTTCAACCTCCACATCAATGATCCTAAAAGCATGAAGGTCAAGGTGCTGCAGGACTGGCCAGCCCAGTCACCAGACATGAATATTATTGAGCATGTCTGGGTTAAGATGAAGGAAGAGGCATTGAACATGAATCCAAATAATCTTGATGAACTCTGGGAGTCCTGCAAGAATGCTTTCTCTGCCATTCCAGATGACTTTATTAATAAGTTATTTGAGTCCTTGCACAGATGTATGGATGCAGTCCTCCAAGCCCATGGGAGTCATACACAATATTAATTATTTCTCCACTGCACCATGACTTTATATTCAATACTGTACATCATTTCTGTTAAGTGACAAGACTTTTGTCAAACAAAGTCAGATCTTACTGTCCTAATTAAATGATTAAAATCAAGACATGATCATATATTATTTTTGTAAAATAAGCATAATATAGAGGCCTTTGCCTTTCAAATAAGCCACTTCTGATACCAAATGATCTACTAGAAATCAAGTTATTATTTGTTGTTCCTAAAACGTGGATAGGTAACGAGACTTTTGTCAGGTAGTCTTTAGTATATTTTTTGTTGATACTATGGATGTCAAGTGCTGCTTTTTTTCTAAGATTTCTTCATAATACTTTGTTTTGAGTTCAACAAATTCATAAAAGTGAAAGAACCACTTGACTGTGAGGAAATGTAATTTTTTTGTTGAACTGTCCCTTTAAGGCAAATGTGATGTAATGCCTATTAAATCAATCTATATACAAATCTCTTAAAATTTACTGACAACTACCATAGCAATAATACACTGTGCATCTGAATCAGCAGTAGTGTAAATCCCAGGGAATGGATTGTCTGCATATTGTTCTTGCATAAGTTGTGTTACAATGTTACATTTGTATCAAATTTTTACAGTTTTCCACCCATCACATTTTTCCATTGGCTACGCTGTGGGTGGAGCCAATTTCTGAGGAGAGCACAGGCGTGTGAGTGAAGCAATCACTTTTATTTTTACTATAAATTGTGTTTTATGTGTCTTAAAGAGGGCCCCTTATACAAGATGTAAAATAAGCCTTTGGTGTCTTCAGAATGTGTCTGAAGTTTCAGCTCAAAATGCCCATCAGACCCTACATTATACCCTGCGGAATATGTCAATTTTGGGGTCAGAAATGTTTTGCAAATGAACTAGGGGGTTTCTTTCTGTCCCCCATACCAATATACGTGTCTGCTTCTAATGTGTTAGATAAACGCAGCACAATGACAGACACAGACAGCGACTCAAATGAGGCAGAGATCCAGTTTCTGAGTCGAAAATACTGCAGTAAGGTTGAGCGAGAAAGTTTCCCAATGGTTATTTGAAGTAGTTGTTATAGAGTTTATTCAGACTTTCTGCTACGATGAATGAGCCACACACATACACACGTTTTTGCTACTTGCAGCAAATGTGACAGGATATAAGTATACACTCACCAGCTACTTTTAGGCATGTAGACATGGTCAAGATGATCTGCTGTAGTTCAATCCAAGCATAAGAATGGGGAAGAAAGGTGATTTAAGTGACTTTGAACGTGGCATGGTTGTTGGTGCCAGACACGCTGGTCTGAGTATTTCAGAAACACGCAAAACCAGCTTACACGCACAACCCTCTTTAGGTTTAACAGAGAATGGTCCAAAAAAGAGGAAATATCCAGTGAGCGGCAGTTCTGTAAGCGCAAATGCCTTGTTGTTGCCAGAGGTCAGAGGACAATGGCCAGACTGGTTCAACCCTGCTGAAAAATCCAGCTTAAACCAGCCTAAGCTGGTTGGTTGGTTTTAGCTGGTTGAACAGCCTGGTTTTAGAGGGGTTTTGGCCATTTCCAGCCTGGTCTTAGCTGGTCAGACTGGAAAATGACCAGCTAAAACCAGCTTGACCTGCCAGGTTTAAGCTGGACACAGCTGGTTTTGGCTGGGCTCACAGCCTGGTTAGGCTGATCAAGCTGGTTTTAGCTGGTCATCTCCCAGCCTGACCAGCTAAGACCAGGCTGGAAATAGCTGGAAACCAGCCTGGAAATGACCAAAACCCATCCAAAACCAGGCTGGTCAACCAGCTAAAACCAGCAAACCAGCCTATGCTGGTTTAAGCTGTTTTTTTAGCAGAGGAGCTGATAGAAAAGCAACAGTAGCTCAAATAACCACTCGTTACAACCGAGGTATGCAAAAGAGCATCTCTGAACGCACAACACTTTCAACCTTGAGGCAGATAGGCTACAGCAACAGAAGACCACACCGGCTGCCACTTCTGTGAGCTAAGAACAGGAAACTGAGGCTACAATTCGCACAGGCTCACCAAATTTGGACAATAGAAGATTGGAAAAATGTTGCCTGGTCTGATGAGTCTCAATTTCTGCTGCGACATTCGAATGGTAGGGTCAGAATTTGGCATCAACAACATGAAAGCATGGATCCATCCTGCCTTGTGTCAACAATTCAGGCTGGTGGTGGTGTAATGGTGTGTACTTCCAGCAGGTTAACACGCATGTCATGAAGCGCGAATCATCTCAGACTGGTTTCTCAAACATGAAAATAAGTTCACTGTACTCAAATGGCCTCCACGGTCACCAGAGCTCAATCCGCCTTTGGGATGTGGTGGAACGGGAGATTCACATCATGGATGTGCAGCCAACAAATCTGCAGCAACTGTGTGTGATGTCAATATGGGCCAAAATCTCTGAGGAATATTACCAGTACCTCGTTGAATCTATGCCACAAAGGATTAGGGCAGTTCTGAATGCAAAAGGTGGTCCAACCGTGTGCTAGTAAGGTGGACCTAATAAAGTGGCCAGTGAGTGTATGCTGTTGTATGGATATCCATTATGCTACTGTACAAATATATACATGATTTAACGTCCACAAACCGAGACTTCTGTTGTTTGATTGAAGTGTCCTCGTATGCAGTTGTTCTGACACTATGCAGCTATGGTGATTCCTATGGTTATGAATTACATAGCGATTTTACTGTCTTACAAATATGCACTGTTTTAAAAATGTTTAACCTTGTAAAACTCATTCTTGAGTTGCAGCTGATCATAGAGAGTTAGAACAGATCTTTTAATCCTAATTTCTTAGCAAATCCTGTTTTGTGGACTTGATAACACACGTTTATACTGAGATTTGGTAATGCATGCCTATCAATCAATTCGGTAGGCAGAGATATCCGCACTGCTTCATTAAAATTGCTAGCATTTGGATTAAAGCTGCTCGATATATTGTTTCAGCATCAATATCGGAATGTGATCACTCACAATAATCACACCACGCATACACGCAATGCTCTGTCCGAATTATAATTTATCATTTCGCAAGTGTTTTTTTAAAGCCTGTGACTGTGTCTGGGTTTTAAAAGCATTCAGGCATAAGAAATTGTAACTTTGCGGAATTAATAATGATTAATTTCATTGAATTGTTTATAAAACAAAGACTATGCAGTATTGTTTTACATTTGATTATTCAATTACTGTATACCTGAATACAGTTTGACTCTTTCAAAAATAGTAAGATGCTGTTTATTTAATTTGAACCTTCTTCTTTATTAAATTTCTATATGTTTGTAGAATGTTTATTGTATTTTTTGCACTTCTATACTATATCCTCCCAATATTTCCTCTTCTTGTGAAATTGTATTCATATCTTAATATATATCGCAGAATAAAAAATATAGCAATGTTAGATTTGTCCAATATCATGCAGCCCTAATTTGGATCTGATTTCACATTAGAATATAAAAAAGGACTTAATGTGTTTATACTACTCTAATATGGCTTCGTACACACTATACTACACACATGTCTGTCCAAACAGCTTCCAAAGGTTGATTTTGCATGATAATTGTGTTGTTTCTCCACAGATATGGCTTAAAAGTGACTTCGCCTGAGGAAAGCTTCGCTCTGCTGGCTTCATCACCAGCTGAAAAAGTAGACTTGACTTTAAATGATTATAAGCTTTTCAGAAAACCGTCTAGTTGACTAAACGCTGATATTCTGCTTTCCAGGCAAAGTGGCTTCGTTCTATAAACCAAGCGGTAGAGCAGGCGCTCAGTGGATTGGGGCATGATGGGATACCTCCTTCTACAGGGATGACGCAGAGAGCAGATCCACCCATCTCCCGGACAGCATCCTACACCTTCTACAAAGACAGTCGGCTAAAGGATGCCAAATATGATGGCCGATGGGTCTCAGGGAAACCCCATGGGCGGTAGGTCAATATCTACATTTTCGTTTATTGTGTTTTAGCATTTATCTTCTTTGGCATTAGTTTTTTATCAAATGAAAAAAAGATTCACACAGCTTTTCATACCACAGCAAAATCCGTTTTTACTTTTGACGTTTGGCGCCAATTAATCAGGAAGTGACGATTGTATTCTTTTTGACTCATTGAATGGAAACGCTGCTTTATTTGCACATCTTTTATACGATATTCCAGTTTGCGCATAAATTTAATTTGCATTTTTAAATGGAACCAGATATTGTTGGTGCCAATGTCTACTTCCAAAAAAAAAAAAAGAGAAGATGATCATTGGCTGTGTTTGGGTTTTAGGGGCGTGGTCAAATGGCCAGATGGACGAATGTACACGGGGACATTCAAGAACGGTTTTGAAGATGGGTTAGTAGTAATGTGTTTTTCAGATTGTTATGCTGGCATTGCATGCTTTCTATTCCTGGAAATATTTCCCTGTTGTTTTCTGCACAGTTTTGGAGATTACGTTGTGTCCAATAAAACCCTGAACAGCTGTGATCATTATCAAGGCCAGTGGAAAGATGGCAAGATGCACGGTTTTGGAACATTCAGGTTTGCTTTTTATTTGTAACGTGTGTGTAATTGTGTTTCAAAATGTACACTGTTAGTTAAAAGGAGTTTTTTATGTTTCAGAATAAAGTGTCAAATACTGTAACAATATTATTGTACGTTATTGTTATAATAAATATAATTTATTCTTCAGGGTTCCCACACTTCTTGAAAGTACTCAAAAGTACTTGAATTTCAGACATGTGGATTTGAGGCGTGGAAAATACTTAAAAACAAACACGGGTCCTTGAAAGGGCTTTAATTAAAATTGAAAATGGTTTGATTTCAACAATTGTACATAACTGTCAAAAACAGAGTTAAAAAAAAAAAAGATTTGTACAATAACACTGAATAATAATGCAGATTTATTACATTTTTCAAAAAACGCATTTGAATATCACCAGTAATGAATTCAACAAATTGTATAGCATTTTTTCTCATTTGGTTTGGCTCATTTCTTCAAACAGGAATTACATTCTCAACATTCTCTATAAGATTGTTTTGTAAAACAGTCTTACAGTTTAGCAGAACACTATAGCTCACTTGCAAAAGCTTATATATTTCCCAAACCTGTTCACTCTTGTGTCAAAACTAAATTTTCTTCTCATTTAAACAGTCAGTGCCCCCTAAATCCTTTGTCTCTTTGGCATTGTGTAAGCACTGCAAGTCAAAATGTTTAGTTGTTTTGTCACTATCGCAGAGGACCATTGAAATATCCCTCATGTCCACCTTTAAGTCTTAGCCCACTTTTTGAAAATGGTTACTCGACTGTTTTTTGTCTTTTGACAGAATGCAATTGTGTATAAAACTAAATAAAATAAAGGTATAAGATTTTAAAAAATGTATTAAAAAGGATTTTAGTTTAAGAGTAGCCTCCCAGGTTTGACATCACATATTGCACTAATACTGCCAAGGAAATTGTAACGATTATCAACCACACACATAAAGTAATTTCCATAAATCAGAATAAAACAAAATATATTGTAATATAAACACACAAACAAAAAAACATGAAGACTATATGCAGCCTACAGTGCTTGATTGGTCATCTGAGATGTGTGAAATGCCTCCTTTGTTAGTCAAGTTCTAGTTTCACCTGACTGTCAGTTGCTGTAATAAATGTATCAAATGTTCCACGGATTTATATACGGTATTCATGGTATTATGTTCTTGACTAATTTTGACAATTGAACAGACTATTGTGCATGTGAAGACGTATACCATGAAATTACGCTAACATATTTTGGAGCAAACAACCATTGAACTGAGAATCAACAATCAGTTTAGATCAACTAGATCTGTTCACTTGGAAATTCTGCTGTACTTAATCATTTGCAAAGATGTACTTAGACATTTGCAATTTAATGAAATGAATGAGAAAATTAAGTCTGTTGTGAACAATTGCCGAGTAGTTTAGAGGTTTGTCCATGTTGTTTTGAGAATGTAATCCCTGTTACAAGAAATGAGCCAAACCAATAGGGAAAAACTAAAATTCCTTGAAACTGTCATTTTTTGAAAATTACTCTGACATTCATTCATTCATTCATTCATTCATTCATTCATTTTTCTTCAGCTTAGTCACTTAGGTGTCACTAAATCTGTTTTATATGTTTTACACAGTGGATGCACTTTCAACTGCAACCCAGTACTGGGAAACACCCATACACACTCGCATTCACACACACACTACGGCCAATTTAGTAAATCTAATTCACTTAAAGCGCATGTCTTTGGACTGTGGGGGAAATCGGAGCACCTGGAGGAAACATGGGGAGAACTTTAAAAAGTCCTTGAATCTGCTGTTTATGAGAGAGTGGAACCCTGATTCTTGGCAAAGCAGAAGTTTTTTTACATTATTGCTCCTTATTTTACACTAGTTATGGTCTGAATCTTCAGAAATCATTCGGAGATGATAACTTGCTGCTCGGGAAACATTGTATATTATTACCTAGTCTGTTTATTTTTTCGTTGTTGTGAAAATCATCATACATTTTTCTTAGGATTGTTTGACAATCATAAAGTTCAAAAGAACAGCATTGAGTCTTTTAATTTTGTAACATTGTAAATATCTTGACCATCACTTTCTATTAATGTTATGCATCTTAGATGAAAATTCATTTTAATTTGATTTCCTGGAACTGACGCAAAGTGTGTGTTTGTGTTCAGATATGCCTCTGGTGAAGTGTACGAAGGCTCATTTCAAGACAACATGCGTCATGGTCATGGGATGCTGCGTAGTGGGAAGCTGAATTCCACCTCTCCCAGTGTCTTTATCGGCCAGTGGCAGTACGACAAAAAGTCTGGCTATGGAGTTTTTGATGACATCACACGGTATGCAAATAGACTGTAAAGATTCATTCACAGAATGGTTGAAGCACATTATTATTTTTAAATGTTTTATGTTTATTTATTGAATTTTCTACATGATACATGAAGTCAGTATATTACAACATAAATCTTAAATTGTTACTCATCAGCACTTCCCTAATAATTACCTAATAATCACCTCTCTCAGCAACCCATAATGGGAAGAAAATGAATTAAATAAATGAATAAACAACTTAATTATTGTAATAAATATTAAATAATACAAATTAAAATAATTCAATAATTAAAAAGCATGAATAAATATATATTTAGATATACAATGCATTCGGAAAGTGTTCATATCCAAAATGGATTAAATTAATTTATTTCCTCAAAATTCTACAAACAAAACCCCATAATGAAAATGTGAAAAAAGATTTTTTGGAATTGTTGAAAATTTAAATAAAAAAAAAAACTGAAAAATCACATGTACATCAGTATTCACAGCCTTTGCTCCATTCTTTGTTGTTGCACCTTTGGCAGCAATTACAGCCTCAAGTCTTTCTGAATATGATACCACAAGCTTGGCACATCTATCTTTGGGAATTTTTGCCCATTCCTCTTAGCTCTGGGTGGGTCACTCAAGGACATTTACCCAGTTGTTGTGAAGCCACTCCATTGATATTTTGACGGTGTGCTATGGGTTATTTTCCTGCTGGAAGATGAACTGTCGCCCCAGTCTGAGGTCAAGAGCACTCTGAAGCAGGTTTTCATTCAAGATATCTCTGTACATTGCTGCATTCATCTTTCCCTCTATCCTGACTAGTCTTCCAGTTCCTGCTGCTGAAAAACATCCCAACAGCATGATGCTGCCACCACCATGCTTCACTGTAGTTATGGTATTAAACTGGTGATGAGCGGTGCCTGTTTTTCTCCAAACGTAACACCTGGCATTGACTCCAAAGAGTTCAAGTTTAGTCTCTTCAGACCAGAGAACTTAGTTTCTTATGGTCTGAGAGTCCTTCAGATGCCGTTTGGCAAATTTCTTACTAGGGAGTGCCTACCGTCTGGCCACTCTACCATACAGGCCTGATTGGTGGATTGCTGCACAGGACTCTTGGAAGAGTCCTGGTGGTTCCAAAAATCTTCCACTTACGGATGATGGAGGCCACTGTGCTCATTGGAACTTTCAGAGCAGCAGAAATTTTTCTGTAAGCTTCCCCAGCCTTGTGCCTCGAAACAATGCACAATATTTACTTAAACACTAAAAACTGAACTACCCTGATCCAGTTACTATGACCATATATGTGAAGCTGCTTTGAAACAATCTACATTGTAAAAGCGCTATACAAATAAAGCTGAATTGAATTGAATTAAATATTTTAATGCAAAACCTATTTCTAGTAGTTTAGATTACAATAGAGGCTATCAGAAATATGCAAAATACACTAAATATTATTTAAATCTGATGACACGGATCAAGATTTAAAAAATAATATCAGTGGACTAGCAGTGTGTGATATGCATCATTTTAGAAAAATATCATAATTGTTTTTTCCTGATGTACGAGCTGAAAATGTCAAGTATGTCCCTCATGTTGCAAAACACAAAAACACCATCTTGTATTAACAAAAAGTAATCGATGCTAGATGTTTAGTAATTATTAATTTATAACAGGCCTAAAATGAAAATACACTGAGCTAAATATGTCATAATTAATGTTGTTGACAGAAATCTCTCAAAATGGTGAAATATCTAGGTCACCCTTTTCAATAAGGTTTCATTAGTTAATGTATTTACTAACTTTAACTACTTGTAGAACATTTATTAATCATTGTTTAACATTCACTAATGCTTTGTTAACATCCAAATTCATGGTTGTTAACAGTTGACAAGGGTATTAAATATATTAAATATTTTCAGACAAGTATAAAAATATGTGCAGTACAGTAACTGTGTTTTAACTGTGTCAGAGGAGAGAAGTATATGGGCATGTGGCTGGATGATCAACGGCAGGGGAACGGAGTTGTTGTTACACAATTTGGCCTATACTATGAAGGTGCATTCAGCAACAACAAAATGATGGTGAGAATCACATAAGCACATATTTTTAATTATATTGTGGATTTTCCAAGTGTATTTGCAATATATTGTGTTTTATACAGCAGTGACCACTTAATCAAATATTGTAATATATTTGTTAAATAAAACCATATTTTGTTATTAAATGGTAAAGGTGAGGAAGAATTGATTGTGTTATTTGCATGTTGGTAATAAAAATGTTAAATACATGAAAGTTCATACTGTACATACTGACTCTTTTAACGCTCTTAAAATATCAAAACATAACACAAATATTCTTATTTGCTTTTAAAGTATGAGGCAATAATATTATTTGTCTTGTTATTTGATTTCTTTTAAGGGTACTGGGGTGTTACTCTCTGAAGATGACACTACATTTGAAGGAGAGTTTTTAGAAGACTGGACTCTTAATGGAAAGGTGATTCGTAATGTTCGCAAACACGTTTCCAGTTATAACATTTCCAAAATATAACATTAAAGTAACAGTTTTCTGTTTTAATATGGTTTAAAAGTGTAAAATAGTAATAGAGCAAAAAAATGACAGATATTTGGTTAAAATATATAACATGAAGTCAGCTATAATGCAGTATTACCAATATTTACACACACAAAAAAAAAAAAGTCAATGTCAACAACGAGTGACTCTTGATGATTCATTCATTCAGTTTCTTGTCGGCTTAGTCCCTTCATTAATCCGGGTTCGCCACAGCGGAACAAACCGCCAACTTATCCAGCAAATTTCTACGCAGTGGATGCCCTTCCAGCCGCAACCCATGCCTGGGAAACATCCACACACACATTGACACACACTCTAACACTACGGACAATTTAGCCTACCCAATTCACCTGTACCACATGTCTTTGGACTGTGGGGGAAACCAGAGCACCCGGAGGAAACCCACGCATGATGATTTTCAGAAGTATTTTTTTTTAGGAATATAAGGTTAAAATCTGCATTTATTTTGTAACATTTTTAGTCATTACCATATAATTTTTATTAATTTCAGGCTTCCTTGATGAATAAAAGTATTTGGTATTTTGGTAAAATTCTCCAAATCATTGAATCAGATGTTCAAATCACTTCCATTTCCACAGGTGTATAATATAAAGCACTAGGCAATAAGTTTGTCATGATACTGGAATTCGGTACCAATCGATACTTATTTCAATTTCCCGCTAACATTTAAGTGCTGTTGAGCGTGTTCTTATACAGCGCTGATTTGCCATTGTGTTCACATGCTCAACAGAAATGACTGTGATTGGCCATTAGGGTCATCAGTTCACCGAACTCACTTCTGTTTACTGACAGTGCATTCACATGGTGCTTCAGCGTCAACGCTTGACGGATGGCGTGTCTGAAGTTGGGACTGACGCGATTGTCATAGCAGCATTAGCCAATGAATTTAGTCTGCAACTGGCTACTAATGTCTGAGCTGGAGTATTTGCATAAAGCGATCTAATTGGCTGTTGAGCCCATTGGTTCTTAAAAAAATTGAGAAATTTCCTACTTCTGCAGTCAGCAATGCCACTGAAGCGGCGCCGACAGATCCACAAAGCAGTTCTGCAACGCCTGACGTCACCCATTCAAAGTGAATAGGAAGCGTTGATGCTGACACCTCATGTGAATGCCGCGTGAGTGTAAGTACAGATAAAGGAACACTGGAGCGTTTTGACGTTGTGATTCATCAGCAGATCGCTCAAATGCCAGCTTATAATCAAACCAGCTATTCGACGTGTCTTTGAAACGCTCCAGTGTCCCTGTATCTGTGGTTACACTCAGTAAACAGTGGTGAGTTTGGTGAACTGATGACCTTCACGGCCCATCACAGTCATTTCTGTTAAGCACGTGAACACTATGGCAAATCAGCGCTGTTTAGGAATGTGCTTAGTAGCGCTCAATTATTAGCGGGAAATGTTTTTAAATTGTCAGTATCGACTGGTACTGAATTCCACTATCATGCAACCCTTGAAGGCATGCAGACTTCTTCTGCAAACATTTGCGAAAAAATTGGTTGCTCTTTGGAGCTCGGGGAATTCAAGCATGATAATGTTATAGGTAGTTCATCTGTGAGAATTCCTCACTACTAAATATTCCATGGTCAACTGTTGCATTATTATAGTAAACTCATAAACTCATAAAATGGGGTTAGTGTGCAGAAGCCAATAGCTTCATGTTGCCTCAAGAACAGTGCTTGGAATTTGAATTCAATGAATGGGTTTCTGACTGAGCGGCTGCATCCAACACTTGCATCACCAATGCTTTTCTGTCTGGCCGTCATATGGATAAGTCTGGGATTGGTGGTTACACATAGTGCCAAATGTAAAATTTGCTGGATGGGGGGTTTTGGTGCAGCGTTGTTTTTCAGGGGTTGGGCTTGGCCCCATAGCTCTTAATGCTTCAGCATACCAAGACATTTTGTCCAATTTCATGCTCCCAACTTTGTGGGAAATGTTTGGTCAATGCCCCTTTCTGTTTCAACATGACATCATGTAAAAACATGACAGTGTAAAAAGCAAAGTCCAAAGAGACATGAATGAGCGAGATTGGTGTGGTGGAAATGGACTGGCCTGAAAAGAGTCCTGACATCAACCTAAATGAGCACTTTTTGAATTACTTAGGCTGTAAGCCATGTCTTCTCATCTAACATCGGTGTCTGGCCTCATAAATGTCCTTCTAATACAGAGGTGCCTAAACTCGGCCCTGGAGGGCCGGTGTCCTGCAAAGTTTAGTTCCAGCCCCAATCAGACACACCTAGGCTAGCTAAACAAGCTCTTACTTTTTCCTCCAGGAGCGTGTTTGGGCACTGCTGTTCTTGAAGAATGGTCAAAAATTCCCCTAAACACTTTGGAAAGTCTTCAACAGTTAAAGCTGTTATAGCCTCAAATGGTGGCCAACTGCATAATAATGCAAAAAACAGAAATGTGCGCACATCTAGAAAAATCTTGAAGGCAGGTGCACGATCAAAAAACAAACATAAGTAGCAAAAGATTCAAAGTAAATCGGCACACTGCCACTTTAGCTCTCAAAAAAATTTTAATGTCAAAATTACAAAATCACAACGTTTCGACCGACATGGTCTTCATCAGGTAAAGCGTTGCAAATGGAAGTCCTCCAGAAATAGTCAAACAGCTCTACACAGCACCTGCAGTCAATTATCACAATCAGCTAACAAGCCGGTAAACAGGAACATTTGCATACAATATTATACATCTAAACAATGTGAAAAACATGCATACCATTACAAACAGACATTTAAAATACAAATACAAATTCTCACTATAGCATTCCTCGGAGACAGTATTCTATAGGCTAAATAGATATAGCGCATCACACCTGCACAAAATCACATCAATCAAACACAAGGCCAGTAGACCTAGGGGCAAAAACATTATGTACATTTTTAGTATACAACAATTCATTCATTCATTTTCTTGTCAGCTTAGTCCCTTTACCAATCCGGGGTCGCCACAACAGAATGAACCGCCAACTAATCCAGCAAGTCTCTACGCAGCGGATGCCCTTCCAGCCGCAACCCATCTCTGGGAAAAGTATACAACAATATAGAATGCAAATACACTTACAAAAAGGATTTTAAATCAAAATCCAAATTCAAACCTCTCGGGGATAAAGTGTTTAGTGTGTAAATGTAAAAATATAAAAAGCTTCCCTCTGTAATAAAAGTCTGTCAACATCGCCACCCCTTCTCGGCACCTTCACTTGTTCAATGCCAATACATCGCAAAGTCGCAAGGTTATGTTTCAATGCATTAAAATGAACGGCGATAGGATTTCGTTGATCGTTTAATCGTATATTACTTCTGTGTTCAGCAATTCGTGTTTTTAAACACCGTCTTGTTTTACCTATATAGGCTAAACCACAAGGACATTTAATCATATAGATCACATTTTTTGTGTTGCATGAAATCACACCTTTAATCTTTAATTGCTTACCTGAATGTGGATGACTAAAAAACTGACATTTGGTTGTAAAATTACACTGTGCGCATTGACCACATCTATAGTTACCTTCAGGGACTGAGAAAGGATTATCCGACCGATCGGAACCTTGATCTGCTCTCACTATCATTTGTCGCACATTAGGAGCTCGTTTAAAAACAATTCGTGGAGGATCTTTACAACAGTGTCTCATGTTTGACTATTTCTGGAGGACTTCCATTTGCAACGCTTTACCTGATGAAGACCATGTCGGTCGAAACGTTGTGATTTTGTAATTTTGACATTAAAATTTTTTTGAGAGCTAAAGTGGCAGTGTGCCGATTTACTTTGAATCTTTTTTAACTGCATAATAAACCATACAGTTTGTCCATACAGTTTGTCATTAGCTTTAATGTGCATGTAAAGGCAGATGTCCCAAAACTTTTTGTCTTCTCTCCACAGGGTGTGTTGACCATGCCGAATGGAGACTATATTGAAGGCTCTTTTTGTGGAGTTTGGGGAACCGGGCTAAAGATGTCAGGTTCCTACTACAAACCCAGCCTGTACGACTCAGACAAGGAGAAGGGTCATGCACTGTAAGAGCATTGTTGATCTGTGAGGCGTACTCAAATTTTTTGTTACGTTATGATTTTAGATGGAGAACCTATATGTTAATGTGTTTGTGTGCAGTAAACTGGGCCGGTTAGCAGTTCACTCTGAAGAGAAGTGGAAGGCTGTGTTTTTGGAGTGCTGGAACAGGCTCGGTTGTGATTCCCCTGTACAGGGGCAAACCACGACAGCGTGGGACAACATTGCCATTGCACTCACTGCTAACCTGAGACAGCAGAGAGACAGGTACAGATTTCAGTGACACTTTTTTTTCTTTGGCTTAGTCTTTGATTTATCTGGGTTCATCACAGCAGAATGAACCACCAACTACTCTGGTATTTTTTTTATATGCAACGGATGCCCTTCCAGCAGCAAAGCGGTTATTAGGCGCAAGATAACACTGGTCATACACTCACCGGCCACTTTATTAGGTACACCTTACTAGTACCAGTTTAGACCCCCTTTTGCCTTCAGAAAGCTGCCTTAATCCTTCGTGGCATAAATTCAACAAGGTACTGGAAATAGTCCTCAGAGATCCAAATTTACATGATAGTGTTTGTCAGCTGCACATTTGTGATGTAAATCTCCCGTTCCATCACATCCCAAAGATGCTGTATTGGATTGAGATCTGGTGACTGTGGAGGCCACTTGAGTACAGTGAACTCATTGTCATGTTCAAGAAACCAGTCTGAGATGATTTGTGCTTTATGACATGGCGAGTTATCCTGCTGGAAGTTGACATCCGAGGATGGGTACACTGTGGTCATAAAGGGATGGACATGGTCAGCAACAATACTCAGGTAGGCTGTGGCGTTGACACGATGCTCAATTTGTTCTAATGGGCCTAAAGTGTGCCAAGAAAATATCTCTCACACCATGAGACCACCACCACCCCCCTGAACAGTTGATGCAAGGCAGGATGGATCCATGCTGTCATGTTGTTGATGCCAAATTCTGACCCCACCATCTGAATGTTGCAGCAGAAATTGAGACTCATCAGACCAGGCAACGTTTTTCCAATCTTCTATTGTCCAATTTTGGTGAGCCTGTACGAATTGTAGCCTCAGTTTCCTGTTCTTAACTGACAGTAGTGGCATCCAGTGTGGTCTTCTGCTGCTGTAGCTCATCCGCCTCAATGTTGGACGTGTTGTGCATTCAGAGATGCTCTTCTGCATACCTCGGTTGCAACTAGTGGTTATTTGAGTTACTGTTGCCTTCCTTTCAGCTCCAACCAGTCTGGCCATTCTCCTCTGACTTCTGCCCTCAACAATGCATTTGGGCCCACAGAACTGCCACTCATTGTATATTTTCTCTTCTTCAGGACCATTCTCTGTAAACCCTGGAGATGGTTGTCCCATCCCAGTAGATCAGCAGCTTTTAAAATACTCAGACCAGCCCATCTGGCATAAACCACCATGCCACATTCAAAGTCACTTAAATCACCTTTCTTCCCCATTCTGATGCTCGGCGTGAACTGAAATAGATCGTTTTGACCATGTCTACATGCCTAAATGCATTGAGTTGCTGTCATGTGATTGGCTGATTAGAAAATTGCCTTAACAAGCAGTTGGACAGGTGTACCTAATAAAGTGTCCGATGACTGTAAACCGTGATCAGAATCACCGGTTGAGATGTGGAGATGTGCCTCTTTATACAAATATTGAAATATGAAATTTTAACTAATTATTAGAAATTTTAAAGTGTTTGGAAATCAAAACGTGGCAGTGAGTGAGACCTAATGAGACAGCATAATTTTGCCTAAAATTGTTGAATTGTGCATATTGTTAATTGTGATTGTTATTGACCTTATTGCTACAGTATGTATATCCAGATATTTGACTGAGAAAAAATAGAGGAGCACTTGATTTTACAAAATAAAGATGATATAATTACTAGCTAACGAAGAAAATGGATAAGAACTGCAACATCCCCCCCCCAAAATTATGAATTTAAAAATATGTAATAGTTTAATCTGTCAAAACTGAATGTTTATGTTCGTATTTTAGTCCAGAGTTGCTGAGCCGCTCACATCACAAAACACTAGAGAGTCTTGAGTGCATCCCTCAACATGTGGGTCCTGTAACATTAGAGGTGTACCACACGATCCGTCGGTACCTGGTGAAGGTAAACATTGTATTTATTAACTGATGCTAAACCACACTTTCCTCCAACACATTAGCTTCCTAGTGTATATTTACCACTTTTGTACCACTGATTATTTTGCTCTGTATATCACAGACGCATGATGTGTGTTTTATTTTAGGCATGTGATACTCCTCTGCATCCTCTGGGTCGGCTGGTGGAGACGCTGGTTTCGGTATACCGGATGACGTATGTTGGTGTTGGAGCAAACCGCAGGTTATTACCGCAGGCCGTCAATGAGATCACGTCCTATCTCAGCCGTATCTTCCAGCTCGTCAGGTAAGATGATCTGTAAAACAGAAAAGGAAGTGTGCTTTTCCATGTCTTTTAAATAACATGCTTGTTTGTGTTTAGATTTCTCTTTCCCGAACTGCCAGAAGAAGGAGGTTCACTAGCCGACCCTCCAAAAGAGAAGGTCGGCACAGATGCTGATGGAAAGCTGCTGGAGTCTCCTAAACCTGGGTATGGAAAATAGTATTAAAGGACTCTAAGGGTGGTCTATGCAACTGCAGTTGTTCATATTACAATTAGCTTTTAACTGGAATGTAAAAAAAAAACATTCTTCATTCATTTTCCTTCGGCTTAGTCCCTTTATTTATCAGGGGTCGCCACAGCGGAATGAACCGCCAACTTATCTAGCAAATGTTTTACCCAGTACTGGGAAACATCCACACACACTTGTTCACACACATACACTACGGCCAGTTTAGTTTAAGCAATTCACCTGTATCTCATGTCTTTGGACTGTGAGGAAACTGGAGCACCCGGAGGAAACCCATGCAAACATGGGGAGAACATGCAAATCTCACAAAGAAATGCCAACTGAGCCAGCCGGTACTCGAGCCAACGACCTTCTTGCTGTGAGGAGACAGCGCTAACCAATGAACCACTGTATCGCCTTGGTTAATCATAATTATGGCATTATAATTCCATGAAATTAAGATTATAGGTGGAGGTAACGAATTACAACCACTCACATTACTGTAATTAACTACATTTTTGGGGTATTTGTACTTTCATGACTAGAATTTTAAGTTTGTAATTTTAATTGTATTAAGCTAGTAATTTACTTTGTTACTTTTAAAATCACAATTGGTTACGGAGTACCATAATTTAATTAATATTTCAGTCCCACTTTATATTAAATGTTCTTAACTACTATGTACCTCCATCAAAAAATAAATACAATGTACTTACTGTGTTTATAATGTACTTGAGCACACTTGTGGTGCTTTTGAGTTGGGATAGAGGTTGGGTTATGGACAGGTTTGGTGGTATGGGTAGGATTAAGGGTGGGTTTAGGTGTAAGGGATGGTCAACAGTGTATTTACAAATGTAATTACAAAAGTTAATTACAGATGTAGTTACATACATGTATTTAATCAAGCATAAGTACATAGTAAATACATGTATTTACACAATAAGTACATGGTAACAATCTATTAGTTCCTGTGTAAGTACATATTAGTTTAGGCCACTTAATATAAAGTGGGACCAATATTTCAACCACTGACCAGCATTTCAGTATCCAATAAAAAAAATCTCATATTAACGGACCAATGAAAAGCCTGGTACGTTATTTAAACTGAAAAAAAAAATCAGGCTACTGCAGATTTACATGAGTTGACCGTCATCATACAGTCACAAAGTTATCGATTGACATATGGAGATTCAGAAATGACGAAAAAATAGCAGAGGATGAATGCCCATGGCCACACCCGGAGAAGCTGTTCACCTACAGTTACAGAGGAAAGAAAGGGGACAGCTGTGCTGATGCAGTGTGAATAGCTTTGTTATCTTCTATAAATTCTAATTTAATTTATGCCCAACACTGGAATATCGCATAAAAGACGTGCAAATAAAGCAGCACTTCCGTCCAACAAGTCAAAGAAAACAAAATCGTCACTTCCGGATTAACTAGCGGCAAATATCAAAAGAAAAAACTGAATTTGCTGCGGAAGGAGAAGCTGTGTGAATGTATTATCTTCATCTAATAAATTACTTGCACCTCAGAAGGCAATCCTGACACGCAGTCAACGTGCGCTGACGTTTGAAGGCTCGAGACATGGAGTGCAGACATTTCTGGAGGTCATTAATAATATAATAACAGTAATACTGAAATGGTTGAGGCGTTTTAGAATGACCAAAACAGCACTTTAGATGTTTTACAATGTGCTCAGCCTGCTGCTTTGTCCATTCGCAGACATTTTCAAAATGTATGTACATCATGGTGTTTTCATCAACCGTTTTTTTTTATTTTTTTTTTTATGTGCATATCCAAAAAGCACATAAAAATCAGTGGATGAAACCTGCCCTCTGTTGTACCATCCGGCTTACTTGTTATCCCATAAGTTAAGTTAATAATGTTTATAAAGTTACAAGAAGACTTACAACTTAATTTTTGTGACATTTTATTTATTTTATTTGTGTGTGTATATATATTTTCGGGCGGGCGAATTGTTTTTTTTATTGCCTGGATCTTGTCTGATTCAGCAATTATGGATAATTCCAGCAATGCCACCAGCTAAAAAAGTAATTTGTACTCTGGGTGGTTTTCATGAAGAGTAGTTTGTACTTTTACTTGAGTACTTTTTAACACCAGTATTTTTACTTGTAATTGAGTATAATTTCAGCAATGTAGCAGTAATTCTAATTGAGTACATTTTTTTTTACTCTTTCCACCACTGATTAAGATTAGAATTTGACATACAATTACATAAAATGTTTGAATGAAAAACACAATTATGAGATACTAAGTCCTAATTAGGAGATAAGTTGAAATCATAAATTGACATTGTGAGATAATAAGAATTTTGAGAAAAGGAATTCATAAGAAGTCATATGGCAAAACTATGACAAAACATTGAGAATTATGAATCATAAAATAAGTCATAAAATTATGAGATACTAATTATTATTAATTGAATTTATGACACTCATAATTATATCAAATGAGGTATTAAGTCATAATAATTGCAGGATTTAAATTACAGTATACAAAGTGAGAATAAATATATTTTCTTTTTATCTTATTACAGTTATGACGTTGTACAGTGGGGGAAATAAGGTGTTTTTGACTTGAAATTTTCCCTGGATGTTGGTAACAACCAAAAAAATTTAGAAATGCAAAGAAAACATTTATGTGTAATAAAATCGAATGGCGAAGTATTGAACACATGAAGAAAGGGAGGTGGAGAAAGGCAGTGAAAGCCCAGACAGCAGCTGAAATCTCTCAGTAGTTCTTCAGCAACCCTCTGCCTTTCCTCAGAGTAAATGAATATTCGCTGCTTCAGTCCAACATCTACATTAGCAAGATGTTAAAAATGAAACCAGGGTGGACATTTCAGCAAGAGAATAATCCAAAACACAGCCAAGGAAACTCTCAAATGCTTTCAGAGAAAGAAAGTCAAGCCGTGGAATGGCCCAGCCAATCACCTGACTTGAATCCAATAGAAAATACCTAATAAAGATCAGATTTGATAGACGAGCCCCACAGAACCACCAAGATTTTTTACACCCTTTTGAACTCTGTGAAAAACTCACACTTGAGCAGTGCATGTGACTTCGTTCTCCATTTGAGAGGTGTCTTTAAGTAATCCTCTATATCAGGAGTGTCCAAACTCGTTCCTGGAGGGCTGGTGTCCTGCATGTTTTAGTTCCAACTCCAATTAAACACACCTGAACCAGCTAATCAAGCTCTTTTTAGGCGAACTAGAAGCTTCCAGGCAGGTGTGTTAAAGAAAGTTGGCGCTAAACTGTGCAGGACACCAGCCCTCCAGGACTGAGTTTGGACACCCCTGCTCCGTCATAATAACTAAAAACTGTTAAAAGGGGTAACAGCACAATGAGATGCTAAATACTAATTATTACTTGTGACAACTTTAAAATTATGAGTCCTAATTATAATGAGGGGCGAAGCAGTGGCGCAGTAGGTAGTGCTGTCGCATCAAAGCAAGAAGGTCGCTGGGTTGCTGGTTCGATCCTCGGCTCAGTTGGCGTTTCTGTGTGGAGTTTGCATGTTCTCCCTGCGTTCGCGTGGGTTTCCTCCGAGTGCTCCGGTTTCCCCCACAGTCCAAAGACAAGCAGTACAGGTGAATTGGGTAGGCTAAATTGTCCGTAGTGTATGAGTGTGTGTGGATGTTTCCCAGAGATGGGTTGCGGTTGGAAGGGCATCCGCTGCGTAAAAAACTTGCTGGATAAGTTGGCGGTTCATTCCGCTGTGGCGACCCCGGATTAATAAAGGGACTAAGCCGACAAGAAAATGAATGAATGAATGAATTATAATTACAGTTGTGAGATTAAAAAAATGTTTAAACCAGCTGACCAAATTCTGAGAAACCATCAATTATGATTTGTAATAAGATCTAAACAGTTCCTAATTTCTGTTTAATTTATTTGTACTGTGCTTTACATGTTGTCAGGTGTGTGGTCAGCAGCTCTGCTCTCCTCCTGCCGGTGCTGTTGCCACGTCTCTATCCTCCTCTCTTCACGCTCTACGCTCTAGAGAAAGAGAAAGAGGACGATGTGTACTGGGAGTGTGTGCTGCGACTCAACAAACAGCCAGATCTGGCACTGCTGGCTTTCCTCGGGGTCCAACAGTGAGTCCGCCGCACAACTGCGTAAGATAGGAATAGATCTGAATATCCTGGAGTGATCCATTTTTCTGATCTTGTTTTCAAAGGAAGTTCTGGCCTGTAACTGTTACAATACATGGAGAAAAACAACAGGTAATAATGAAATACTGTATGTTCTGTTACATGAGAGACTCTGTAGTAGGTCTGCACAATATATTGTTTCAGCATCGATATCGTAATGTGTGCATTTGCAATAGGATTTGCAATGTGGAGTCAGGGTTATACAGAAGTTGACCAGTAGCCATAATTCAAAAAATACTTATGCTGCCTCCCAATTCGCATACCATCTATCCTAAATAGTATTTGAAAATATAATTAGTATTTTATCTGCAACAACAATGTTAACTTCTATCAAGATATGTTTGTACCTTAACTTCTGAATGGATAATCACCTAAAGACCTGAGGAGATTTCTCTGCATGAAAGACTTGCGAATGGCAGATTATCCTGCTGCTGCTTCCTCAATAAGGCAGGAACAGTAATTAAATATGACAAGAAATGTGGAAGATATGTTGAGATGATTGACCGGGGATGTAACTAAGCAACATAACAACCCGTTAACATGAAAGCATAGATATATACATTAGATGTCGCCTGGCCTATTGTTGTCTATTGGACCGGATGCGTCAATAGCGCCGCCATCTTGCTACAGGGTAGCGCTCCTTTGAAATGAATGCGGGACCAAGGTACAGTGGAGGACTGTGGCCATCCAAAGCCAGAGATATACACATATACACGTATATCTTTGATCGGGAGTTTTTCTGGATGTTAGTATGTAATTTTTTTTTCTAATTACGCAAATTATAATTTTACATCACTTTTCTACATTGATGGATCAGTGACCGCACTGGCATTCCTGACAAAAAGCTTGTGTTTGTGTGTACAGAAATGTACTATTCACCCTCCTTGTTAAATTTGATCTAATCATGTCCTGAAACACAGCTCCTCTCCTGCTTTCACTTCTCATACAGACGGCGGGAGCGATTCGTTTGTAAATGAATCCCCCGAACAACTCTTTCACTAACGTTAGCCGACAATAATACAAGTTTCTGGCAGCAAAGCATCTCGTTGTCATATTTCTTTTGCATTGTATGCTGATTTTATTCAACAAAACTAGCATAAGCCGAGTGTTTAGTGCGAGTTGGAGCTGCTTTGCCTTATGGTGAATGCAGTAAGTGACTGTTATCATCAATAACGTTACCTGATTAGCACAAAAGTTCAGAACATACAAAAACAGAAAAAACTTAATATTACCTAAAAAATGTTCTGCCTTTGTGCTTTGTTTTTTTTTGTTTGCTCGTTACTACACACGTAGACAGCGCTAAAGTCCCGCATCTTCACGTAATAACACTGTCTTGACTAGTGCTGTTGAATGACATTTTTCCTGGGAGCACTGTACCAATGTGGCGGCGCTATTGACGCATGCTCAGGGTCCCTATGCGATATCTAGTGTATATATCTATGACATGAAAGTAGTATGTCCCAAAGCTTGCATACTCTTCTGTTACACATTGAAAGTATATCCTTTCCTTTACAAAAAAAGTAGATACTTTAAGAGTGTAGAGTAAGTATGTGAATTGAGACGCAGCTGTGATTTATGGTTACATTTTGCAATGACTCCACAATGTTACCAAATATTTTAGCATTTGCATGATTTCCTAAGGCTCATGTTAGCATTTTAGGCCAGTTCAAGCATTCAGACACAATAAATTAAAATGTTAACTTTTAAGAAAGATTAATTGTATTTATGTACAGCAGGGAAAATAAGTATTGACCACGTCACCGTTTTTCTCAGAGATCATATTTCTTTTTTTATTTCTTTTTATTTTTTATTTATTTATTAGAATATGCAAAAAGTATACAAATACAAGAAAAAGTCAACAAATAACAAATACAAAGCAACGAAACAAAAACAAAACAAAAACAACAACAATATAGTCATGTACTGGTATGTGCGTGAGTGTGTGCGTGTGAGTGTGTGTATGCATGTAAAGGTAACTTGGTGGACAGGTCAGAGTACATACATAAGGAACAATAACAGTCAATAAATGAAGCAAGTGTCACAGATATAGATAAAACATATAGAAAGAAACCAGTCAGAGGTAGGGAGTAACAACAATGCTTATTAATGTATGATAGTAAAAATGAGAGTAAAAAGAAAGAATGGACAACAGTAATAAATGACAACAATAATAATAAATCACAAGTGCTACACCAACTACTACTACAGAAAGTTACTTATATAACAACTACTACTGCTTCTACTACAGCCACAACCATGACTACTACTACTACAATGTCTACTAATACTGATACTACTCCAACGACTACCACTACTGATACTACTATAGCGTTTGCTACAACTAATACAACAACGTCTACTGCTACTACTACTACTACTGCTACTACCACCACCACAATCACTTCTACTACATCTACATCAACAACATCTACTACTGATATTACTACACCAACAACGACTACTACTACTACTGTAACTACCACACCATTACTACTTCTGCTACTACTTACATGAACTACTACTTCAATAATCATATTATAATCATAATAGATCATATTTCTAAAGACCATATATATATATATATATATATATATATATATATATATATATATATATATATATATATATATATATATATATATATATCAATATATGCAAAGAAAACATCTAATTAGTTTACAAATTAAGTTATGCATATTAAAATGAGATGATGCAGGGAATATGTATTGAACACATGAAGAAAGGGAGGTGCAGAAAGGCAGTGAAAGCCCAGACAGCAGCTGAAATCTCTCAGTAGTTCTTCAGCAACCCTCTGTCCATCGTCAGTGTAAATTAATATTAGCTTCTTCAGTCCAACATCTACATTAGCAGGATGATGAAGATGAAACCAGGGTGGACATTTCAGCAAGAAAATTATCCAAAAAACAGCCAAAGGATCTCTTAAATGCATTTAGAGAAAGAAAATCAAGCTGTGGAATGGCCCAGCTAAATCTCATTTAAATCTAATATAAAATACAAATTAAAGATCAGATTTGATAGACCAGATTCACAGAACCACCAAGATTTTTACACTCTGTTGGGGCTCTATTTTGATGGTCTATGCACAGAGCGCAAAACGCAGGGCGCAAACACTTTCAGGGTGTGTCAGAACGCATGTTTGCTAATTTAAGGACGGGAAAATCCGCTTTGCGCCATGGCGCATGGTCTAAAAGGGTTGAGTTAATTTTCTTAATGAGTTATAGGTGTGTTTTGAGAATAAACCAATTAGAATCTCATCTCACATTCCCTTTAAGAGTCAGCTGCGTCGCGCCATAAGCGCATTCGCTATTTACAGGATGTAAAGTTACTTCAAGTGGGAAAACTGAGCATTTCACTAGCAAACAGTTAACAGATTTTTTTAACAGAAAACTGTTAAACAGAGCATCTACTGTGTGAGAATGAGAGATAATGGAACTACTTTCACTTTCGCTCTCGGATAGGGAAACCTTTACGCATGGACATCAATTAGTCTATAAATAATTAATTGCGTTTGTTAAGCGCAAATATTCGTTTCAAAACTATTTCTAAATTCAGTTCTAATTTCCAGCAAACGAATAAATGAACAATTATTACGAAGTGTGCTCAAAAACCTGAGTTACATGCTGTGCCCAATATGGTCTAAAATCTGACAGGTGGGCAAATCTAAGCTTGTTTTTAGTAAAACAAATATACATATGGATATAATAAATAATACTGCTAATAATAATAACATTATACAAAAGCAAATTGTTATGAATGAACTGAAAAAGCCTCCCGAGATAAAGGCATAAAAGCAGTGATTTTCCATATTTATGCAGGCTAGAAAATAATGTTTTGTAATATTTTAATCCTTTATTTTTATATCCTATATCTATTCTTATTATATCCTATATATATCCTTAATATTTACATTTTTTCATATGCAAAGATATTTGCCTATTGCTCTCTTGTGCGTATTAAGCAGTGTGTAAGCGAGGCGCAACTCTGCGCCGGAGTTTAGACTGGGTTAGTTTTGGTCTAATGAAAAATCTATTTTAGTTTCTCAAATTAGCAACGCGCCAGCAGTGCGCCTCAGAACGCCTTCCTTTTTAGACCAGAAAGCCTATGGGCGCACAAATGAGCGCTAATGCATTTGCTATTTAAACAGCGTAGCGCAACGCCTCAAAACAAGTCTTGCGCCAAGCTGAAACTACCAAAAGACTATTGCGCCGCGCCTTGCGCCACACTGCGCCAGGTGTATGATAGGGCCCTTGAAGTCTATGAAAAAAAAAAATCACACATAAGCAATTCATGCGACTTTATTCTTCATATACAGTAAGAGGCATCTTTAAGCTACCATCATTAAAAAAGCCTTTTATATAAATTATTAGATACATTTCAGTAGTTTAGTCCTTTCATCTTGTGTCATTCCATTGTTATTACACATAACTCATTTTCCAGATTTTTTTTGTTTTGCTTTGTTTGCATTGTTTGTGTTTTTACTGAAACTTGGTTCAATTCCATGTCTACAACTCCTTTAGAAATATTATTCCTAGGAAAAAAACATGACATGCCTAATACTTATTTTCCCCACTGTATATACGATGAAGACTATACAGTGTTCTTTTACATTTGACATTTCTAATTTGTGTACTTGAATACTGCTAGACTCCACAGAAAACTGTAAAGCAGTTTACTTTATTAGTTTATTTGCTGTTAACTTTATTAGTATTTATTAATGCATTTATTAATATAATATTAACAATAATGCAGCCCTACTCTGTAGTCTTTAATTACTGTATATCTCAGAATTATCCCATTACATGCAAAATGCTGACAATGTTAGCTTAAATAAGACTTAAAGGGATAGTTCACCCAAAAATGAAAAAAATTAAAACATACTCACCTTAAAGCAAACCTTTATTATTTTAATTTTTAGGCTAAAAAGAGTTGAACATAAAAGATATTTTGAAAAATGTTGGAAATCGTTAACTATTGACTTCCAAATAGTGCAAATTTGGAAACTTGAAAATAAGATGCTTTGTTTTCCATTGTAAAAACAAATACAATGGAAGTCAATGGTTTCAGGTTTCCAACATTTATCAAAATATCTTTTTTTCATGTTTAATAAGGAACTCAAATAGACCTAAATGAGTTTTGGGAAACTGTACAGGAGATCTCTGTGATGGTCCTGGGAAAGAAAGATTATAAGACTCATTAAACTCAAACAGCATTGGAACAAGTGGCAGATGTGTTTTGGGGGAACTATTGCTTTAAAACTTTATGTACAATATGTTTGTAGGTTCTCTCAAGCACTAAAGACGCCTGTTTCGCCTCAGCAGTTGAGACTTTGCAGCAAATAAGGTTGATTTACAACAGTTTTTGCATGATAACTTTTACACTTTTTTCCTGATAATCGTTTTAATGTTGCTTCCCTTTTTGTTTCAACAGCACAACGTTCACACCCTCAGACAAGCTTCAGGTGATCCAGCTGACCTTCGAGGAAATAACCCAGGAAGTGCTCGCACTCCTGAAACAGGATTTCTTGTGGTCTATGGATGACCTGTTTCCTGTCTTCCTCTTTGTTGTTCTGCGTGCACGGTACGAATGAGGTCATGTGATTTTAGGGTCCTGTTTTTAGAACAAAAGCATCTAAAGATTTATTCATTCATTCATTTTCCTCTGGCACAGTCCCTTTATTCATCAGGGGTCACCATTGCGGAATGAACCACCAACTTATCCAGCATATGTTTTAAACAGCGGATTCCCTTCCAGCTGCAACCCAGTACTGGAAAACATTCATACACACTCATTCACACACATGCACTATGGCCAATTTAGTTTATTTAATTTACCTTATTCTTCGCCATCGAGCGGGTGCAGCCATTTAAATCTTTTTGGCCCGAGACTTCCGGTCTTATTCACTTCCATTCAGTTTTAGACAATAAAAACTGATAATGATATTTTCTTATTATATTATTCTACTTGGTCTGTATAGTCATGCAAACATTTGTTTGTAGAGCAAGTAGTTTGACCGTTTACTGCCGTTTATTATTCCTAGTCATTTCTCCCATAGGCGACTGAATCAGAAGTTCTGAAACAATCGCGAAAACAGGTCCCTACTAAAAAAACCAGCTTAAACCAGCCTAGGCTGGTTGGCTGGTTTTAGTTGGTTGACCAGCCTGGTTTTAGAGGGGTGTTGGCCATTTCCAGGCTGGTTTTCAGCCATTTACAGCCTGGTCTTAGCTGGTCAGGCTGAAAAATGACCAGCTTAATCCAGCTAAAACCAGCTTGACCAGCCTGGTTTAAGCTGGACATAGCTGGTTTTGGCTGGGCTCTCAGCCTGGCTAGGCTGGTCAAGCTGATTTTAGCTGGTCATCTCCCAGCCTGACCAGCTAAGACCAGGCTGGAAATGGCTGGAAACCAGCCTGGAAGTGGCCAAAACCCCTCTAAAACCAGCCTGGTCGACCAGCTAAAACCAGCCAACCAGCCTAGGCTGGTTTAAGCTGGATTTTTCAGCAGGGGTGCACTTCTACATTTTAGAATAAGGTCAATAGCGCAAGTCTTTGGACTGTAGGGGAAACCGGAGCACCCAAAAGAAACATACACAAACACGGGGTGAACATGCAAACACAGACATGCCAACTGACCTAGCTGGGACTCAAACCAGCGACTTTCTTGCTGTGAGGCAACCTTGCTAACCACTGAGCCACCGTGTCACCCCTGAATACTTGTTAATTTATTTAAAAAATCACCCCAAATTTGACAAGATGACTTTTCCCCTTAAAATCTACTGCTAGATATAAATGCCGATGTGTCTTAGCAGACTAATTGTGATAAGTTCATCTAAGACAGTGATGTCCAAACTTCGTCCTGGAGGGCCGGTGTCCTGCATAGCTTAGCTTCAACTTGCTTCAACACACAAGTCTGGAAGTTTCTTGTATACCTAGAAAGAGCTTGATTAGCTGGTTCAGGTGTGTTTAATTGGGGTTGGAACTAAAATATGTAGGATGCCGGCCCTGCAGGACCGAGTTTGGACACTCCTGATCTAAGATATTCCTTCATACCAGGTCTAAGTGATGAGAGAGGTTTTTTAATGTCCAGTCCATATAACTGATAGGTTTAAGCTGAGAAAATGGCATTTTATTATAAACGATGCATGTTTTTAACTGACACAGGATAAGGAATCTGGGGTCAGAGGTTAGTCTCATTGAGGACCTAATGGATCCATGTGTACAACATGGAGAGCATGGCATCATGTTCACCACCCTCAAGGTACGCATTTTTCACATTTTGATTCACATTTATATTCCAGATCTAACATTGGGTTTAACAATGTTTTACATTTAGACTAGTATGACTGTATCGTAATTGTGGCCAGATATTCATATATAAGAATATATAATTATTATTAATTTTCAATCAAAGCATTGATTATTTTGCTAATTGTTGTTTTGTAAAACTTTTTAAATCTCTGAGTCGACATTTTCTATCGATATGTGGTTTAGCTTCGTATGCTGGCACCTCATGGCATGTCTAAAACGGAATTATACATAAATTTATCATAGTAGAGTTTTCAAATGTGGATGAGAAATGCACTGGAATATCACAACAACAGTGTTGACATTGTATTAGTCTACTATTAGTGTATCCTAAACATTTTGTACCAATTAATGAGAGAAGAATATATGCCTCATTGCCCTCCAAAGTGTTCCACAAGTGGAAGTGACATCCCAAATCACTCAATGCTTTGAAGATTGTCATGCATTTAAACAACCAATGCAACAGACTTGACCAGAAGGCAGAGAAAGACGCTAAATTATAGCTTTTTTTTAGAAACCTAGACAGAAAATTTGTTGTTTTTTAATGCAAATGTTTATTTAACTTAGTAAACACACAAGATAGATGAAAATGAAACTTGATTATTTCATCAAAATTGATGCTGAACGTATGATTTAGGAGGCGAAAACAATCAAAAAACATAGGTGGAGTCTTTATATTTTCCAAAAAAGGTCTCTAAAATAAACTTATAAATCTTAATGAACTGTAAGATTATTATATCTTATTAATTGTAAACCTCAATACTCTGACTTTGAAAGGTGCTCTAGTGGCAGACACTAGAGGTCATGGTCTTTAGCCTTTTTGTTAGAGCAACTGACTCCCATGCATAGAATCATCAGTTTGATCCCAGCTCTGGAGGGGGGTTGGATGCAGTAGGAATGGTGGGTTACACTTGGGGGCTCGTCCGGGATGGGAGTGAGGTTTAGGTGGGTTACACATTTAATAAATAATTAAGATTCTATCACTTACAGGTTCAATTAATTATAATGATTATATAGGTTGATATAGTGTAATAAATATTTCTCTTTCTGATTTCTTCCTGACTCAGGCGTGCTACTATCAAATCCAGCATGAGAAGGTCACGTAATCAACGCATCGCTCCAAATCCCATCGTGTAATGACTGACAAACAGAGCAGCCAATCAAATGTGGTGCTTGCAATGACTTGCTGTGTGATGAGCCAATCATGTTCCATGTCTGGATCACATGATTGGGATAATTGAAGACTCTTATGTGCAAGTCAGGTTTAACTGTGGTTTAACTTTCACTCTATACATCGTGTCTTCCTCAATCGGAAAGCTGGGGGTTTTAACTGCTGCCATTCCATCACGTTAAAGGTAATAATTATGTGCTCCAACTCAGTGTTTTATTATTATTATTATTATTATTATTATCAATTAGCCAATGCGTTATTGGCTCAAAATGACTGACGTTATCAGTATATCGCACACATCTCTTTCTCCAAGCACACAACGGTTGATCCAGTGTCAACTGAAGATGTAGATAATTAGTGTTCTGTATGCCGTCCCAAATAATGCTTCCATCTACCTCTGTCTTTAAAGTAAAATACTACATCGCGCTCAACTTATCCTGATCGAGTTGCATTATTCAGTCCAAACAGCACACCGCCTCGGACAAAACAACCACCTGAAAAAAAAACAAGCATAATTCTAATTCATTTGAAGATTTTTTTTTTTTTATCTACAGCACAGTAACCTGCTTTATTATGTATGAATTCTTCTTTACAAGCTTCTTAGTTCAACCCAATTGAAACCTATGACAGTTAAAGGGATAGTTCACCCAAGTTTATTTATTATTTACTCTTGGTTCCAAACTTTAATAGTTTTCTTTCTTCTGTTGAACACAAAATAAGACGCTTTGAAGACCTATAACTATTGACTTTCATAGTAGAATAAACAAATGCTATGGAAGTCAATAGTTACAGGTTTCCAGCATTTTTCAAAATATCTTCTTTGTGTTCAACAGAAGAAAGAAGCTCATATGACAGTAAATGGTGAACTATCTCTTTAAGCAAAAAGTGTTTGTGTCAGTTGATTTTGCTTTTGATGCACTATTGTTTCTGTGTATTTTTGTCATGGAAGTAGCCAAATCATAGGCAGTGTTTGTATTTTAACACACTTGAAAAAAAGCAAAACACAATGCTAAACTAATTTGGTCATTATTTTTCTATATTTTAATTGAAGCAGCTATTGCCGAACCTTCGTATACGCACTGCTGTGTATCATCCTCACTGTTTTCTCATTCCTGTGAAGTCTTAAAAGTGCCTCTGACAGTGTTATGAATGTGTGTTCACTACATCTCTGTACCCAGCAATAGCTTTTTTGAGTCGAGTCTCACGTTTTAAAGCTCAGCGGCCTAATGCGTTATTTTCTTTTATTGACATTGTTTTATTTATTTGATGGACAGATCTGGCTGCAGCCCAGATAATCTGAGTGATGTAGATAATCTGCAGGGTATTTCACGTACAGAACACCAGAAGGACGGTGAGTTGGTCAGGAAAAAAAAAAAAACACAACAACGCATTTACAAGGATCAGAGATCAGGAGTTTGAGTGATTGTGTGTCACTAAATGTAATCGTGCAAACTGTTACGGCGAAGGACTGTTGATGTTTACAACCATTGACACTTGAGATGTTGCATGAATATCATAGTTTATGATGTCTTTTGGGTACAGTAAGTTACCGTACTGTACTTTCGCATCAGTTTTTCTATGCTGAGCCAAGGTGTGCATGTAAACTTGTGTTCGAATGTTTGTGTGCGTGCGAGTATGGATGGAGTTTGTGTCATTTTTGAAGATTATTGTATGTTCAGATTGTATATCGACTCATAAATCAAATGGATGGCAATAAAACTGTGATTGGGAGATTTAATTGTCATCTTTTGCTTTTTTAAAACTGTTCCTTTATTACAGCAAACATTACCAGCTTTTCATTAACTTTTTGGACCCAATCATACACCTGGCGCAATAATGCGCTAGACGTGTATGATGGGATTTGTTGCTATTTTCAGACCAATGCATGTGTAATTTTCACGTTTTGCGCCATGCTGTTTAAATAGCAAATCCATTTGAGCCTCTTTGTGGACTCATGGGTGTGCTGGTCTGAAAAGGAGGTGTGTTAAAGGGTCATGACACCCTCCACTTACGGTTTATGTCTACCTCAGAATTTTTTCATAAGATGCATCATAATCAGTGGCGTAGCGGACGGGCCCGCAGGGCACACACCGCGGGGGGGCCCCCGCGTGATTAGGGGGCCCCGCGTCGTCGCGATTCTCAATAAACTCTTGGGAACAACTGTGGTCGGAACCAAAGTTCACACGTCTGTGTTCTCTGAACACCTCTCAAGCGGTGGACTACTTCATTCTGATATCTTGTCGCCAATGTTGCCCACTTAGTGAGTTTGTCACTAGATTTAGCAACTTTTCAGACCCCCCTAGCGACAAATCTAGCGACTTTTTTGTGTGTTATTGGAGTTTTTTTAGACTGTCATTTGTCCATACTGTACCGTCCCTACTCTTCTCAACGAGCTGCGTGTGATGCCGCCGGCCCCTCCCCCGCCTCACAGCACTGACAGGCGGCGCAGTCAGTCCTCGTACAGCAGCCTCTCCCACCTGCACCCCGAGAGCAGATCACTCCTCTGCGTACCGACGACAAATGATTTAGCACAGGCAGTGTGAAGGTATTTCCGTTGTACAGTCAAACCGATCTACTTCTACTTTATTTTAACAATTTAATTGGACCGTTTATTCTTTTCTTGTTCACAATCACAGATATTTTAGTAACAGTTTGTGAACTTGTCTGAGTTTATTACATATGAGAGATAACTGCACATTCACTACACATCTATAATGACATACTGTATTCAAACAGCAATAAATTTAGTTAAATAAACATGCTTATATAAAGTGTAGTGCAATTATAAATACCCCTTTATTAATCATAGGCTGTTAAACAAACAGAAGCGGTAGAACGTGATGACGTCAGCGATATGCAAAATGACGTATGACGTACCCCCCCCCCCTTGTATCAGGGGGCCCGTCAGCGATCCCTGCAGGGGGGCCTCCGCATTTTGCGCTACGCCACTGATCATAATGGGCGTGGAGATCCGTGAGCAAAGGGCAGGAGTGGGCGTGGCCAGCAGGGGAGAAGGAGGGGAGTGAACAGTTGTTGTCAGTTAGCTCAAAATGAGACACAAACCGTAAGGAAACGCATGATTTTATAGTTTACAAAGCTAAAATGCAAAGAAATTAAAAAGGGTTGTTCTTCAGAAACAAATTACTTGGCAAAAAAGTTGACTTGCAAATTATTTGGTTAGCTGTTTTTAATCGATGTACAGTAAAATGCAATGTTAATAATGGCCTGACTCTACTGCACTCCTGAGCCATTAGTTTACTTAATTTGTTTTAAGTGAGTAAACGTTTTGCTTTTAAACGATTAGTTGACTTTATTTAAAAAAATAGAAGTACCCATTATCTCAAAATTATTAAAAATTAACTATTTGCATAATTAAATCAACTTCACTGTTCCAAGTTACAACGGGTTTACTTTTTGAGGCAACAGGTTTAATCACTTTAGTAAAGAATAAGAAAAGTATCTAAGTAATATTGAGCCATTAAGGGGGCATAAACATTTTCAACCCATCCATTTAACTTTGCGTAGAAAAAAAGCCTGACAAAACTGTGGTTGTAGCTTCTAGTTTGACCATTGATGTAAACAAGCAACAGAAATGGTAAGTGTTTTTTTCTCTCTTAAAAAAAAAAACATGCTATTTTGTGCCTGTTTAAATGGTTCATTGCATTTTAATATTTGTGTTTCTTTACAGTCTTGTCAGATCAGTGAATCTGTAGCGCATCTTTGAATGATTGCCTGGCCTTTAAGGTTAGTATCAACATCTGTTCATTCTTTGCACGTATTTTCTGGCAGTAGAGAGAGAGCCGAGATCAAGTAACATCATGCAAATTGAAAACAATCAGCTATTTTTCTCAATCAGCTAATGGCTGTATGTGTGTTTTTTAGGCAGGATGCTCTTTACTTTATTGAAGAAAAAAAATTGTATGTTCCCCAGGGATGATCCTTGTAGTCCTTTCACTGAGTTGCAGACAGGAACCCATATGTCAGATAAAAGTCAAATATTGACAGATGAAGGCAGTGTCTGTTTTGAGGAACTCAACAGGTAACTTGACCTCATTTCTGTTCATCTTGATTTCTCATTGTTTGTGCGCTTCATTTTGAGTGAGTAAAAGTGAACTGTGGTACTATTAGGGGGCTTTCACACACTGTAGTTATAGGAACAAATTATCCTGGTTGCAATTACACCTGGACTAGGAAATCTGAAGTGATGTAGAACATCTGACAGAGAAATTAAGTACTGGATTCAACAAAATCAACAACGTTCCTCTGTTTTGATTGTGTGTTTCGGGATAATAACAGATGCATTCAATTGAAACGGCAAAAGGAAGATTTACTGTATATCACCTTTGGCATATTTCTGTGCTACACATCACTGGGGTTGAGAGAAGAACACAGGGCTGCAGACAAAAGTAACAGGTAAACACCGAGCGGCAACCTCCCACTCTCCCACGTGAAGCAAATACGGAAGTAACTGAACATGTAATTCATGGAAAATTTTGCTAGTCCTGGCTCCATAATAGAGCAGATTTCTATTAAGCCCACTGTTAAAATGGCCAGCTGTACAGCATAAAAAAAAGTGTTTACAGCCTGGTACAAAGAAAGATTTTGGTGCATATAGCTAATAATACCCTTCATGACAACTGTGAGGTGGTGAATTTTTTATAACTCCTCTGTTTCCTTTGTATTGGGTTTTATTAAGTCTGCATAATTAAGGGCGTGGCCGCTTGAGTGACAGCTAGGTCTCGCTGGTCGCCATCACTTCACCTCAGCTGATTCCGGCTGATTAGCTGATAAAACTCTGCATATACATATTTTTGGTTTTGTTTTAAACACGTGACTTTCATTTCTCAGGTGAGGGAAATTATATACTTAAATGCTCTCTCTATAAATGTATTTGTTTAAGATCATTTATCATTTATATTTTTCTTTAGAGTTGTAATGCACTTCAGAATCTGACAGATTGATTAGCTGTAGGCTCTAGAACAGTCATCTGAAGCATTGTCACACAGTTTCATGCCTGGATTTTATCATGTTTACTAACACAGACTATATTTGAAGTATTTGGAAGTAATTTGAAGAAAGAAAAGCCTGTCTAAGCAAAAAGCTAGCAGGCGTCTGTAGCTCCGCTCACGCTCCACCTCTTTACCCTTATTTGGTTACCCCTGTTGGAGTGATAACGTGCAAACAAAATGGAGATGGTTGGTCAAGCCCACTTGTAGACTCATTTCCGTTCTTCAGAAACTTATGGGTGACGTCACGGATACTACGTCAATATCTTTTTGGGCGTACTCACACTATGTTATCCGAACCATGCTCAGGCCCGTTTCCTGGATGGTTTGAGAAGTGTGAGTGCTCTGAATCAGGTTCAGGCTTGGTTCACTTGGCCGGCCCTTGCCCGGTTGGAAGAGGTGTGCTAGAGTGCGGTTCACTTAGGCTTTGACGCGGTACGCTTGTGTGTGAGTGCCAAACGCACCCGAGCCTGAAACTGAAAGCGAGATGTGACTTTTACGGGACTGTTTTATATTGATTAATTAGATATTCTTACTGTTCAATGAACACAAACTGTCGTAGATTATTAAAGACGCAAACCCCTTAAGCCTGATTCATACTTCTGCGTCAGGTGACCGGCGTAACCTACGGCGCAGGCAACGCGCGTGGCTGTGCATTTATACTTCTGCGCGCTGTCTCTGCCGGTCTGCATTAACACTTCCGAAACGCTAGTTGGCAGTGAGGTGTAAATGTTGCTCTGTGTCGAGTTTCTTCGCTACTTTATTGCTTTTCCTGAACACTTCCGGGATGTACAAGTGGCTCAAACTCGCTAATTTTGAGGCAGGAACCGGTGGACGTGTAACAACTTTAACTATGAGGTAAACACAAAACAAAACTTTCCATCCGGAGATCCTTCACGGGACTCCACACTTGTAAACAATCGCTCGCGCGGCGTCGCGCCATTCGCGCGGCTCTCAGTCCCGCCCGGACTCGTCAGCGCTACCAAGCCGACCAATCACAGAGCTTACGCTACGCGCCGTTGCGACGTGTAGTTACATTTTTTGAGAGGTGCACGTCAGTGACGGTGATGGCCACGGCGAAGGGCTATGCGTCAGCGCCGTAGCATACGCCGGTGTTTGACGCAGAAGTATAAATCAGCCTTTACTGCACGACAGCTGCACCTTCAGCAAACCTCCTAATACCTGCAGCACGAGAACTTTATGATTGTTAATGAGCGTCAAAAGTTGCTGATCCGTTCGGCGAAATATTTGACTGAATGTTACTGCATATCAAACGACTAAACCGATACAACTAAAGAAATCTCCACTGTAATGAGCGAAAGTCGTCATCATCGATGACTTAAGTGTGCCCAGGCCCGAATGTAATGTGAGTGCAGGCCATCGGGGGAGACGGGAGGGGGGACAAGCGTGCTTTGGCCCGGTTTAAGGCAGCTGTGCATAGTGTGAGTATGCCCTTACAGTCTATGGCAAATAAATAATTAACTTTATGAATCTTGTAGCACTTAAAACTGCTGTGATAGTGTTTGGTTTTGACTCATTCACACACATACACAGACAATTTAGCTTACCCAATTCACCTATAGCACATGTCTCTGGACTTGTGGGGGAAACCGGAGCACTCGGAGGAAACCCATGCAAACACAAGGAGAACATGCAAACTCCAAACGGAAACGGGGCTCGATCCAGCAACCTTCTTGCTGTGAGGCGATTGTGCTACACACTGCGCC